AGAGCCAGGCATGGGCAGTGGGAGGCCACTAGGGGGAGTGGGGTGATGGAATATATTCCTTCCATAAACTCATCACTTTCTGGTTTAAGACCATCCTTAAGCCATAGTAGCTGAATGTCAATTGACCACCAGGGAGCAGCAGCATCACAGGAAAGTCCTCAAAGTCCCTCTGAGTCACATAACTAAGTATCTAATGTTGAGAGTCAGGACTGAGACAGAGGTGAAATTTTTGGACCGGCCTTGGGCAAAATTGCATAGTGAGTGGACTTTTTTTTTTTTTGAGGGTGCGGAACAGCTTCCGTTTCTCTATAAGTGGCCCTTTCTTGACTCATGGTGGCATCACTTCTCTCATTTTTTCTCACCTGTCAACAGCCAAAGTATTTTTTGGTATCACAGTTTAAAAAGCAGGGTCCCTAGACTGTTGTGTTTAGAGTACACTCTTTGGAGTACTGAGTCTGGGCTCCTGGCTACTTCCAAGGAATTATACTCAGCCCCAGATGGGTAGTGCCTAGGTCTTCCCTCTCCCTGCTTCATGACTTGGGGTGGGGGTTGGGGTGCTGCTTTAGAGAGGAATGGCCCTGAACCAGGAAGAGCTACCTCTTCAGCAGACTTTCAAAGGAGTAACTATATAACCTTTGGTTCTCTTTTCCTTCTTCTTTGCAGGACATGGTTCATGCAACACTTTTACTCTACTAGAAATGGATGCCATTCACATGGTTCACACTGCCAGCGAGGACAGGGGCTTGGCTAGATGAGCTTAAGCATAGGTCTGTGGTTGCCTCTTTTATTTTTTTTTTTACATTTTTTTTTCTTTTAGGTAAGTGGGGTTAAGTGACTTGCCCAGGGTCACACAGCTAGTGAGTATCATGTGTCTAAGGCTAGATTCGAATTCAGGTCCTCCTGACTTCAGGGCTGGTGCTCTATCCACTGCACCACCTAGCTGCCCCATGTGGTTGCCTCTTTTACTTTCTGTTTCTTTCCTCTAGCATGGGTAATTTATCAGTGATCCTGAGACAGATGTTTCCAACTTTGGAGGCAAAAAACTCTCTGTGTTTGAGAGGTTAAGAGCTCCTAATTAGAGGCAGGGTCAGCAACAGTTTAGGATGTGCCCCTGAGAGTTATTAGAGCACTTCTTCCAATTGAGACAAGGAGCCTAGCCCCATGGCTTGACTTGCTAGAAAATATGGACCTCAAGGGAGACTGCATTGCAGGATGAGAAATGCCTGTTAAAGAGTCCTGCAAAATGCTTCATGTTTTGATGTTTTAAGCATCACCTTACTTGGAAGAATATAAAAAAGTAGTTATGGCTACATTTCTAGGTCTTGGTCAAGGCACGCTTGTCTTTTGTGATTTAAACATTTTTTTGGTTTGAAGGAAATAAATAACTGTCCTATGGCAGATCCTATGGCAGATCTCCACTGTATATTGAATACTTTTTTAATCCCTATTTTGAGGAAGCCCTAGCCAAACTTGAACTTTAAGTGATTCTCCCCAGGGGTCTGGGGTAGAAGTGTAAAGATCCAGAAAGTCTGAGAAAGAGAAACTTGCCCCTTTCTTCTATGGACAGTCCACCCCCAGGACTAAACCCAGTCCATGTGAGGGGGTCCAGAGTTGAGGGAACTCTCCCTCAGCTAAAAAAAGTTAGAAAGAATAACAAGAAGAACAAGATCAAGAAGAACAAGAAGAAAAGTAAAGAAAGAAAAAAAGTAGTTCAACAAAATTTACCCTGTGAAAATACTCCTGAGACCAACATATCTGTTTTCTATGAGTTACCTTACCAGGCAGGTAATGTAAACAATCAATCAAAACAACTCTGAGGTACCACATCACACCTATCACATTGGCCAACATGACAAAACAGGAAAATGGGAAATGGTGGAGAAGATGTGGGAAAATTGGAACACTAATGCATTGTTGGTGGAGTTGTGAACTGATCCAACCATTCTGGAGAGCAATTTGGAACTATGCTCAAAGGGTTATAAAAATGTGCATACCCTTTGATCCACTAATACCACTTCCAGGTTTGTACCCCAAAGAGATCATAAAACTGGGAAAAGGACCCACATGTACAAAAATATTTATAGCAACTCTTTCTGTGGTAGCCAAGAATTGGAAATTGAGGGGATGCCCATCATTTGGGAAAGGCTGAACAAGTTGTGGTATATGAATGTGATGGAATACTATTGTGCTATAAGAAATGATGAGCAGGTGGACTTCAGAAAAACCTGGAAAGACTTATATGGACTGATGCTGAGTGAAGTGAGCAGAGCCAGGAGAACGTTGTACATAGTAACAACCACATTGTGTGATGGCTACCTTTGATAGACTTAGCCCTTCTCAGCAATGCAAGGATCTAAGACATCTCCAAAAGTCTCATGATGGAAAATGCTATCCACATCCAAAGAAAGTACTATGGAGTTTGAATGCAGATCTAAGCATACTATTTGCTCTTTTTCCTTGTTTTATTTTGTTTCTTCTTTCTTGTGGTTCCTCCTATGGGTTCTGATTCTTCCTTACAACATGACTGATGTGAAAATATATTTAATAGGAATGTATATGTATAGCCTATATCAGATTGCACACTGCTTTGGGAAGGGAGGTGGGGAGTTGGGGGGAGAAAATTTAAAACTCAAAAGCTTATGGAGGAAAACTAAAAATAAATTAAAAAATAAAAAGAACTTTTCTGCTTTCAACTCAGCTTGGACTCCTCTGCATTTTGAGGGGTGGGCTTTGCCCAGTTGGCAACCCATATCGATACGTCTGACAATTTATGCAATGAATGAAGATTTTCTGGAGAACGGGTTCCTTTTTCTCCCTCATGTTACTATGGCTTACTAGATTATCCTTTTCAATGCCACTTTTACCCCCTCATGCACATTGGACTCTAACCCTAATTCCCCCCTCCAACAAAATAAAACAAAATTGTTTTTGTCTATGTAAAACAATGTTATTAGTTTTGAACTGGAATGACCAGAGGAAAGCAGCCAGGATGGTGAAAGTCCTTGAGGTTTTGCTATATGAGGAGTGGTTGAAAGAACTGGATATGATTAGAAGAAAACACTTAGGGGGGGAAATATGAAACAGGATTTGAACCCACGGACTCCTGACTCCAGAGTTTATACTTTTTTCAGTAACTCAAGTTAATCAATATCGTTGTGCTTCAGTTTCCTCATCAGTAAAATGGGGGTAAAACAGAATGTCTCAAATGTCATGGTGCAGTTTTGAGCTAAGTACAACACTCCCTTTGCTTATTGTATCAACCTTATAGAATTGTTGCAAAGATCAAATGTAATAATATATATGTAACACCTCCACTCCTTACCTTTTGGGGTGATTCCTTAGAGGACAGCCCTGTAACACTGAGTGCTATGCTTCCTGCATGTAAGGGAATGTGACTCCTAATTGTCTGAGAGATTTTTGACCCTGTGACATTCCATACCTGTGTAAGTGTAGATGGGACTTCAGAGGAGGAGTTTGAGAGAGGTGGTTGAAACAAGCACAAACTTTTAAAGAATGGACTGGAGATCTCAGAGCCTCAGACGTATGGGGAAGCTAGCCTCCACTATGTCCCTTGACTCACAGAACCTATAACCGTCAAGACTGCTAAGAATAGACTCACCTCAATGAGACCATTCTATTTCTCCTTGGTTGATCTGAGATCTTAACCTCACTCCTAGTCAGAGAGCTCATTGACTCTTGAATATTTTATCTTTTCCTCTATCAATGTCTCAAATTTCTTTTTACTGACTACTTTGATGAAGAGGCTTATTAATAATTCATGATAGTCTTCTGTGCAACCAGAATCTGATGGGAGAGAGCTGTTAACCATTCTTTTTTGAATGATCAGGGAAAGTATCTTTTATTCTGAACTCTATATGATAACCTCTAGGCTACATTATGAGCAGCTAGGTGGCAAAGTGGATAGAGTGCCCAGCCTGGAGTTAGGAAGACTCATCTTCCCAAGTTCAAATCTGGCCTCAGACACTAAGTGGTGTGACTCTGGGCAAGTCACTTAACCCGGCTTACTTTAGTTTCCTCATCTGCAAAATGAGCTGCAGAAAGAAATGGCAAACCACTCTAGTATCTTTGCCAAGACAACCCCAAATGGAGTCATAACTGAAACTGTGAAGCAGGTACTGAGGGTATTAGGTCCCCATCTTACAGATGAGGAAATTGTGACAACCATAGTCACCCGATTAAGAAGTCAGAGGCAGGATTTGCACCCGCAGTGCTCCCAATTCCAAATTCAAACTCTATCTGCTAAATCAGAGGTGTCAAATACATGGTGGCCCACAACTTTTCCAAGTGCAGCCCAATCCAGATTAAAATGTAATTGGGAAATATTCAGCAAAATATACAATAAAACATGTTTAAGTGTGGTTTTTTTAATATGCAGCCCACGAGGACGCTTATGTGTGAGTTAGCAGCCCCCTTTTCTATTGAGCTTGACACCACTGCTCCACATCCTGTTGCCTCAGTAAAGTGGTTACTGGGGATCTTCCTCATACCAGGCAACCAACAAAGCCTCAATACACAGGTTATTTGGTTGCTCTCCTTGGTGTTAGTTTGGGCATCAACCCAGAGGGCATTTTGAAAGGATCTGGACATTTAGAATTTTGTAGAGGGTGTTTGTGGGGTTGCTATAGAGCAGGAATATATCTTGGAAAAAGGTGCTTAGCATTCAGAAGGGTCTGAGACCTCCTTCCTGCTCTTTGGAACTAATTTCAAAGCATGCAACCGATTATTAAGCATGTTTGAAAAACAAGGAGAAACTAGGCTGAGATGCATTGTAAATTGCGGGAATTCAGGAATTAGTAACACTGAAAATTTAACTGACCTAATTAAACAAAAATGTGAACTACAGAAAAAGGTAAGTAAGAGGTCTCTGAAATGTTATGAAAGAAAAGGAAGTTAAATTTTACCTTGGGGTAGCCCAGGCAAATCTTTCATCCCTGCCTGTTCACTTTGCTGATGCTTTCTGATAGAAGGTGATAAACTGGTTACTGGTAGAAGCAGTTTTAGAACTGTGATTTTATTTGAAGAGCTAAATTGACTTTGGTTCCACATGGAACAATTACTGATCCCCTAATCCTCCCTCTCCCTTGCCATCTTCCTAGCCAGTCTTGGCCCATCTCCCACATGCTAGAAAATTGAAAAGGCAGAGGCCTGGACACAGTAGATTCCATTAGCTGCTCTTCAGAGCTGGAGCAGAACGGAGCCGTGACATCTGGTGCCGTCTGTCTTCATTTTCCCCATGGCCTTGGCTCGAGGGTAGGCAACACAAATGGGCGGCATTCCTTCCCTAGCTCCCTGGTCCCCCCTGCACACAGCTGCAGGGCTGAGTGCTCCAGCTGACAGCCCATTCGCCCAGCAGGCTTGGGGAACAAAGAGAACGAATGGACTTGTGTGCAACAGTGGCTGGTGAAACCGGAAGTTTGTTTAAATCTCAGTAGAAACCGTGCATGCCTGCTCCAGGCTACCCCAGGGCCAGGTGTCTAAAGATTTGGGGGAGGACTGTTTCCTATCAGGCAGGATGCCTTGTGTCAGCCCTGTCAGCTGCTCTTCAATTCTCTGAGGGCACAAGGCTCTGCTCCTGCTTCTCTGGGAAAAACCAGCCCTGTCACAAGACTGTCTAAAGAGCACAACCGAAATCATTTTGGGAGACTCCAGCTACTGTGAGAGCATTAGGATCCAGAGCCCCTGTGCTAGCCCCTCCTTCCCCAAGCTGAGTAAGGGCTCTTATTGCTCACTAAGATGGTATCTGAAGGACCTTAAATGGAAACTTACTGAGGGTTCTACTCCCTGAATCCTGCTTTGTTGTGTTATTACGTGATCAAGAAACACTGACCCTGTTCTCGCCCCGAGGTGGTATGAAGCTCTGGCAGGCAGGGAGGCTGGCCAGATCCTTTGACCAGCAATAAGGAGTGTCAGGTGTTGAGATGGAACAGAGAAGCACAGTAATGTAGAAAAGCTGTCCCCTACTCTTCCCTACTCACTGCTTTTGATGCTATCTATGCCTGGGTAACTTAGCACACTGAATGTGGTGATCAGGAATACGTGGCTGTGCTTAGGCAAATGGATCTAAGTCCAACGGGTGCCTCAGAGGCACGGGGGAGGAGTCTGGCACGGTCTGAGGTGGTGCCATCTTTGCTGACGCCATGAGATGCGAGTTGGCAGACAAGTTGGCAGAATGCAGTAGGTACAGATTCCAGCATCTGAACCCTCCCTGCTCGAGGGCCAGAGTGATACTCAGGCTGTATAGGGTGTCATGCTATAGGAAGTTTTCTTCAGTGTCTCCAAGAAGAATTTCTCATCCTCCAGAAAGTCCCGGTCCTGTAGGAAGGGGTGCGTGTGAACGAAATCAGATCATACAGAATAGTCATGATGTAGCAAGCCTTTTCTCCTTGAGAAGAGAGAGACCAACTCCCTATTGCACATATGGAGGCAGGACCCTCGAATGGTCAGCTGGCCAACTCCCATCTGATACATTCCCCTTCCGGCCCATCTCACTGCACCTCAGAGAGGTGAGGACAACATCATTCACTGATTCTTGGGCCTGAGCTTCCCATTCTTCCAGCCTCACCTCTGTACCTTTATCTTTTTAGAAAATCAGAGCAAATGGACCTCTCTGCAGCTTAATGGGAATGAAGCCACAACTGACTGCCCAAAAGATTGCTGCCCGGGGAACATTCACTCACCTTCTCAGCCATGTGTTTCAGCAACACCAGTTTGGCATGCAAATGGGAAGGGCCCAGGCCTGCAAAAGGCTGGCTGCGTCCAGGAATGGCAATGGCAGGAGTGGTGATAGCTGAAAGAGGCCCATGGGAAACTATTAGAGGGGCCTCCTTTAGGCCCCAGAGCAGGAGGGACAGCAGAGTTAGGAAGGAACAGGAGGACTCCGTATATTCTCATTAGGGGTCAGGAAAACTAAATGGACCCAAGACTTCTTCCCTATTAAGCTGGCTGTGGATTGCCTAAATAGCTACTTCTCCCATATTTACTTTCCCAGAGATCAACTCATCAAGGTATCTCTTACTTCTGGGGCCAACTCACCATTCAGGCTGGAAGAATCTAGGACCTGGATTGCAGGGCTTAGCCCCACAACGGGAGAGGGAAGATCCAGTTGAAGATGATCCAGCTGCCGCCTCTGCTGAGCCAAATTCAAATTCTCCTGTTACCATCCCCCCAGAGAGAGAATGAGGAAGCTGTGAGAGTGCAGAACATCTTGTGCAATAAAGGCAGGGGAGAATGAGGAGACAGAGATGGGAGGTGATTTGGGTTGGAGAAGTGTAGTTAGCACCAACTCCGGTGGGAAATGCTGCCCGAGCTGACAGATGCCACCGTCACTTCAGATGTTTTGCTTGACCCTTTGTTTATGAGAGAAGGCTCCGAGGAGTTTGGGGATCTTGGGAAGGTTAGAGGCATCAATGAATGTGAAGCATGAACTAAAGGCACCAATGAGATTAGCACAAAGAGAGGAGGGGGGAGGGTCTACAGAGACAAGGGGCAAGAGAAGGTGCCTGCCTGGTGCAGCTGCTGCTCTTGCTGCCGGAGTCGTTCCTGCTGCTGCTGCACAACCTGGAGTCGGGCCTGGTGGTCTGCCTGCAGCTTGTGGGCCTCGAGAAGAGCCCTCTCTCCCTCCTCATACTTCTGAGAGGCCACCTGCAGACAGGACCAAGGGGCGTGTCTCTCCTCCAATAGCTCCCGCTGCCCCAGGGCAGACCCGCCCTCCCAGTGCACTGGCTGCTGCCCCAGGTGGCATCTCCCTGGCTTCCCACCTTGCTCATGCTCTCAACTTCCTGGGCTCGGAGCTTGATGCGCAGGGCAGCTGCGTTGACCTTTTCCTTCTCCAGCCTCAGTTCTTGCCGTTCCCGCTCCAGAATTTCCCGCTCGCCGGCCAACTGTTCCTCCTGAAGTCGCAGCTCATTCGCTCTGATCTTCAACTCTGCCTGTTCCTGTAAAGGGAGCATCCTTTATCTTCTCCAATCAAAGCCTTAAGCCCCCTTTTTTTTTTGTGGAGAAGGGACACCCTAGGGCCTCTCTTCCCAGTTCAAGCCAACTCTTGTGTCCTTTTCCCAAGCTGGTCCACCCTCAGAAAGTAATAAGCTATGCATCATACTGATTATATTTAGCAAAGAGCTAAATCTTCTGCCTATAGTTACTGATATGGGGCACAGACTGCCAGAAAGAAGGGCAGTCAAGTCAAGCTTAAGGCCTGGGTTAGATAAAAGTGGGGACGGGTCTGTCTCCTCTGAAATTCCAACAATTCTGCAGAACAACAGCACAAAGTTGAGGTCCCATACCTTGGCCAGACTGACGATTGTACCCTCTCTCTGTGAGTCCACCTGCAGGACACGCTCAGCCTCACGTTCTGCCCGCTCTTTGCTTAGCTTTTGTTGGGCATAGAAATCAGCCCACTCTGCAGCCAGCCGCCGTCCCTCCTCTGCACACTTGTGCATGACTGATTTCTGCTCTTCCAGTAAAGCATTCTGGGAAACAGGAAGGGGAAGTAGGGGAGGAGGAGGGCGTCAGGAGCCCCCTTGGTGAGATGGCCCTAGGTGACTGATGCTCAAGCTGCTCACTCACCTTGGCCCTCTCCAGCTCCTCCCGCTCCATGCTGAGCTGCTGAGTCATGACCCTCCTCTGCTCCTCCAGGGAACGCTGTGTGGACTCTGCCTTGGACTGCTCAGCACTCATTCTCCAGCGTTCCTGTAGGAGACCCCCAAAGTTAAGGGAAGTGTACCTTTCCCTGGAATGGGATCTGACCTCTCCCCAGGCCAGTCCATGCCCTCCTTCTGTGATCTGTCACAAGCACTTTCTCAGAAGGCCAGATAATGAACAGGAAGATCACTGGAATGGGATTCCAATGGACCGGTTACCAAGACGTAAGAGGAAGGAAGGGGAACCTTTCGTTTCTGGCCTGACTCTCATGTCTTCCTCTGCATTGAGACTAACTTCCATGGAAGTTGTGACATACAAATTCTTTCAGAAACGCATTAGGTTAATGATATCTGAAGACCGGTGCTATCCCTGTTCCTACTCCTTCCCCCTTCATCCCCATCTTTCTGTGCTCTGGTGACCCTCTATTAGTCTAGCAAAAATACTCTTGATTGTTAAATGTTACACAGAGGGATAGGTGTTGTCCATTCCATCAAGGAACTTGAAATGTAGTCAGGGAAACAATACTAATACACAGAAGGCCAACAATAAGAGAAGGTTATGGAGCTATATGATGAATTGTAACACTTGTGGCGATAAATGCAAGTTTTAATTCTGAGGACAGAGAGATCAATGAGAATTGGAGTAGATGAGAAGACTTGGGAAATGAGGCCTCTTAGAGGATGGATAGACTTTGCATAGAAGGAGAAGAAGGAAGTCATTCCAGCTTAAGGGAGTGACATGAAAGAAGAACAGAAGCAGAAACAAACATGGTATGTCTGTGAGAGAAGCAGAGGTGAGTTGGACTTAAAAAGAGAGAGAACAGGTTGGAGAAAGAAATAGGAAATAAGTGGAGATATAAAGGGGAGCGACAGATAATGGAGGGTCTTGGCAACTAGGCAGAGAATTGAGATATGAAGTCACTAAAGGTTCTCAAGCAGGGAAATAGCATGATGAAAATCATGTTTAGGGTTTATCTGAAGCCTATATACATGATGGACTGGAGCAGGGAGGGGCTGGGCTCAGGGAAGCCAGCCAGGAGGCTTGGAGTAACGAAGGCTTCCATCAAGGTGGTAACAGTGAGAATGGAGAGGCAGGGATGGACACAAGAGTTCCAAAAACCCACCTGCTCTAGGAGACGGCTCTGCTCATTCAGTCGGGCCTCCATCTTCCCAATGATCTCATGTAGTCTGTTCCTCTCACCTTCCATGTCCCGCTGCTGCAGAGTCAACCTTTCCTGCAGAGCTGGAGGCAATGCCCGAGACAGTTACCGCCAGATACTGATTTCCAGATTGACCCAGGGCACATCTCCCTTATTCCCAGGTGTTCTGGGTCAGTTGTGATGGTGTGTGGAAACAGGAAGCCAGTACCTTGGAGTTGCTTATCACGCTGACGGGCCCCTATCTCTAGCTCTTGGGAGTTGGTATGGTGAGTGGCTTCCACACGAGACGAGAGCTCATTAAGGCTGAAGGAAAACTTCTCCATTTGTTCAATAACCCCATTGAGGGACCTGAGAGAGGGAAGGCATAGCTTTAGGCTACATGATCACAGGTGACCAGTGCTTATGGCACTGTACAGAGAAGGCTACAAGCAGGAGTGGGACATGGGGCATACCGGGTATGGGAAGTAGCACTTGTAACGGCATCAATCTCCCGGTCTTTCAGTCGCTTCAATCTTTGTAGCTGCTCCTCGTGGTCTTTTCGTATCTCTAGGATGGATGCCCTGAATGCCAAGGAGAAAACCATGGGAGTAAGGGAGGGGAAAGCTTTTGGCTTTACTGTCCTAGGATCTATGCATAAAGGGTAGCTTCCTTGGGAAGAAGTGTATATCTTCCTTTATCCTTATGATATATGCCTCAATGTCAGATACCTTCTGGTATTTATATAGCTGTTGAGCAAAGGTTTCACTGCATAGAATTAAAAAGTTAGGTAAAGAGGGATGAAAGTAGAGGAGGTCATCAGAGAGGACAGGAAGATAATGGTGCACCCCATATCCAATTTGTTACCAAGGTATGTCGATTTCACCTCTGCAATATCTCCCTATATTGCCCACCCCTACACCCCCTATCTCTGACACCACAACCGGGGTGCAGGTCCTCATAACCTCAAGCCTGGAACACTGCAGTAGCCTGCTGGTGGGTCTGCCTGCTTCAAGTCCCTCCCCATTCCAGACCATACTCCATTCAGCCACCAAAATGATTTTCCTAAAGCATAGGTCTGATCATGCCATCCTCCTACTCAATAAACTTCACTGGCTTCCTAATTGCTTCCAGGAGCAAATGCAAAATGCTTTTTGGAATTCAAAGCCCTTCAGAACCTAGCCCCCTCCTACCTATCTAGTCTTCTTACACCTTACTCCCTGACACATACTCTTCAAACCAGTGATACTGACACTCCAATGTCTCAGTTCCAGAATTTTCTCTGGCTGTCCCACATGCCTGGAACACAGCTCCCTCCTCTGTTCTGACTACTGACCTCCCTGGCTTCCTTCAAGTTCCAACTAAAATTCTACCTCCTACAGGAAGTCTACCCCAACCTCTCTTAATTCCAGTGCCTTCCTTTTTTTTTTTAAAATTCCCTTCTAATTTGTTTTATTTACTTATTTTTTTGGTGAGGCAATAGGGGTTAAGTGACTTGCCCAGAGTCACACAGCTAATAAGTTTCAAGTGTCTGAGGCCGAATTTGCAGTGCCTTCCTTATGTTATTTCCTGTTTATCTTGTATATAGCTTGCTTTGTATATGTCTGCATATCCTCTCCCCCACTAGAATGTAAGCTCTTTGAGGGCAGGGACTGTCTTTTGCCTCTCTCTTTTTGTATCCCCGGCACTTAGCCCAGTGCCTGGCATGTAGTAGGTGCTTAATAAATCGACTGATTGAATTTGCAAAACTGAATGCCCTTAAATGGCCATGTCAAGCCCCTCTATTTCTTTCTCACTCTTTTCTTTTTCATTAAGAAAAACAGCATCAGCACCATATGAGGTCTAGATAGAATAAATCCCTTTCAGAGTTCATCCTGGTGAAACAGTTGGAAGAACTGTATACATTCTGAGATTCCAGAATTAGCCTGGGGCTAGCACTATCTCAACACTGGCACATCAGAAGGGAAAAAAAAGCAGACTGTGAGCTCCTTGGGCACAGGGACTGTCTTTTGCCTTTCTTTTTATCAATACAGTTCCTGACTCACATTAGGAGCTTAATAACTGCTTTCTGACTGAGTAGGAACCTAAATATGCTACTAGTCGGAAGTTGTACACCTTGGGCTTTGCTATAGCTTACAGCTGAATTTTCCCTAAGGGGAGAGCCCTTTCAGGCCAGCCTTCCCTAAATTCCCCATCCCAGGCTTGCCCCTTACCTCTGCAAGCTCTGGAGCCTCTCCATCTCCTGGTCCTTCTCCTGCTCGGCAGCAGCAAGGCGTCGCTGATGTTGTGCCTGAAGCTCAGTTCGGGCCTTCTCGGCTTCCTGGCAGTGAGACAGATACTGAGCCGTCAGCTGCTCGTTCTCCCTCTGCAGTCGCTCTTCTCGCTGCTGGTACGATGTCTCCAGCACCTTGATCCGGCTCCTGCCAATAACACACAGCAGGCTGGACTCAAAGGGGGGACAATCTAGGACCCAGATTGGCACTTCAAGTCAATAACAAGCATTTATTAAGTGCTTACTATGGAAAACGCTTTATTATATTGTTTGGAAACCATATTATTATACTTTTTATGCGACTAGAGATTATTTGAACCCAGAATGTCACCGTGACCTCAGTAACTATTCAGAAATATTGGAAATGGCTACAAAGAATATTCTGGATTCCCCCAGGTCCTGGATCCACCCACATTTCTGCTTGGGTCTGTTCATACAAGTCTAGTTTGGGTTCCACCAAAAGCTTGTGTTTTGGGTTCCCCTTATGTTTTGGTTTTACCTAAATTTTATTGAATGTTTATATTTACTGATATCCATTTCAATAACTTTGCTTTCAAGCTGCCCTCTTTGCTTAACTGCATAGGTGTGGTTTACGTACTGGTGCCCTTGTTAGAAACCCTATATAATATAAACCTCCCAAAGCCTGGATGAGACAGCTACCCCCTTTCTGGCTTGCTCTCCTCTGCCAAATGACCAAATAAATTTCTAAAACTTTTTCAGGTTTTGGGGTTTATTCTTGGATAACATTACTATTATTATTACTTGGATAACATACTTGGATAACAACCAAGTTGGCTGGTTGTCCTTCATGCACAAAGAGGACCAAAATGACTCCAATATGTTGGGGTCAAGGAACAGTGCGTCCAACTGCGGCTGATCAGACCAATATGAGCTCGGAAGGCAATACCACAGGCTGGGCACAAATAATCCATATGAACATTTGGAGTGGAGATAGCCCTAAATTTGTGCCTCTCACATTTCTTTTGAGCTATTTCAATTATGCTTTGCTCATGGAGCACACCACCTTCCCTGATGAGGGCATGCCATACTGGGTGGTCCACGTCACACAATCAATACCAAAGTTCTTTTTTTTAGACATTGGGGTTAAGTGACTTGCCCAGGGTCACAGAGCTAGTACGTGTTATGTGTCTGAGGCCAGACTTGAACTCAGGTCCTCCTGACTTCAGGGCTGGTGCTCTATCCACTTCGCCACCTAGCTGCCCAATACCAAAGTTCTTAAGACAGACCTTGAGAGTGTCCACATATCAGCTTCTTCTAAAAACCATTATGAGCGCTTGCCCTATGCGAGTTCTCCATAAAATAGTCTTTTTGGCAAGCTACGTTAAGTGCTGGGGGTACAAAGAAAGGCAAAAACAGTTCCTCCCCTCAAAAGGCTCATAGTCTAACGGGGGAGACAACCTACAAACAACTAGGTAAAAATGAGACAAGCAGAAGATAAACTGGAGATAATCTTAGCGGGGAGGAACCAGCATTAAGGGGGACTGGGAAAGGCTTCTTGTGGAAGATGGGATTTTAGCTGAGATTTGAAGAAAACCAGGAGGCAGAGACCAGAAGGGAGAGCATTCCAAGTATGGGAGAGCTCTCTAGAATTTTTTTAAAATACTGTCAACTTAGTTTATGGGATTAATATTAAAATCCAATCCAAAACTGGGGATGGGATTTCATCTGGGTAAGCTAAAGAAATCTAGCAAGGCCTCTTGGGACTTGTGTACTTAGGTTTACAGGAGGGTGAAGACGAGTAGAGCAGAAAGTAGGCAGGGACACTTGGATACCTATGTGCACTCTCAATGAGCTCCAAGTCTGCCTGGTGCCGTTGTTGTAAACTTTCAAGCAAGATGTGCTGCTGAGTTTTCTCTAGCTCCAGCTTCCGTACCTGGAGAGTGTTGCATCAAGGAGGAAGGAGAGGAAAGATATTTCTCAGACTTTCATTTCCCCTTTAGGTCTCCTGTTGCTTTGTTTTTTACAATTCTCCTGCATACTTGGTGTTTGTATCCGTCTGACTAGCCCACTAAGATCCCTGCCCAAAATGTCCCCTCTTCTCCTGGCCCTCCAGCCCACCCTTCACCTGGGTCTCCAGTTCTGCCTGTCGGGCCTGACTTTTTAACAGCTCCTCTTGAAGTTCTGCTGTGCCACATTGCAGCTGGGCCTGCGCAGCCAGGATCCTCTTCTGATACTCTCCTCCTGGCAGCAAACTCAGGGCCAAGCTCTCTGGAAGTAGGCCCTGCATGGGTCAGAAGAAACCATCAGCAGGTTAGATGTGAAACAATGGAGAAAAACCTGGCCAGAGATAATTGCACCCCAACTCTTCAGCAGCTGGATAGCCATTCCAGACCTGATCTGTGGACAGCCTACTATTCATCAAAGTAGAGAGACCATGACACTCACAGCCACTGCCTCCTAGCAACTTAACTAGCTTGGTTTGAAAATGGAATCATTGCCTGTCTCTGCACCAAAGGGGAGGCTTTAGTCTCCTTTCGCCTCTATCCTCTGTAAAATGCTTTGGATATCTAGATAAGTTGCCAAGTCTTAGGGTCAGGATGAAAACTCCTGATACCGAACCCTTCCATAGGGCTCTTAGACTACTTAGATCAAAGGCTCTTAATCTGGGGTTTGTAAACTTAGATGGGAAAAAAAATTATTATTTATTTTTTACTAGTCTTTGGGTTCCTTTGTGATACTAAGTATTTTACTTTTTTTGCATTTACAAACATGACTCTAAGAATGGGTCCATAGGCTTCATGAGATTGCCAAAGGGTCCGTGATGTAAGAAAAAGTTGAGAACCCCCATTTATACACAATATAGATTGAAACTCTTCCTTTGACAGCATCAGGAGAGTTGGCAAGAAGCATCACCAAAGTCTTTTGGGACCTTCTAGTAATATAAGCAAATTTTTTCCCCTTAAAACAAAAAATAAGAAAAAGATCCATTTGTCAAATAAGGCAGATGCTACCTCTTCTCACCAGGCCTTTGAGGCCCTGGAAGCTCTGCTCCTATCATTAGAGCTGCCTCTAGGGATATGTTGTATGGGTTCTTTGCAGCGCACAGCCAACAGTGGCTGGCTAATTCAGGAAATGTGGATTGGGGATCTGAGATTGGTGAGGTAGAAAAGTCTGAGGGTGGAAGGATACTTTCAAAGTGAACTGGCCAGATAACTGTAGCCTCACTTTATGGTTGGCATTTCTAACTGCTCCTATCTAGATGGTAATTGTGTCTCCCCTACCAACTTTGGCTCTATACTAATGCCCAGAAATGTCTAAGATGGGAGTTCTATAAACACCAGGTGATGTTTCTTCCTTAGAAGATTTTTTTTGGGAGTTAATTGGGGTTAAGTGACTTGCTCAGGGTCACATAGCTAACAAGTGTCTGAGGTCAGATTTGAACTCAGGTCCTCCTGACTCTAAGGCCGACGCTTTATCTACTGTGTCGCCTATCTGCTCCTCTTAGAAGTTTTTGCAGGAAAACATCTGAGTTAGAAAGAATTTCCTTAGAAGAAAAAGACTGAGGGCTCTGAATACCTGTTTGCCTATTCCTCCCTACCTGTACGGGCATGGAAGTCCCTGTTAGTTCTTGGGATCTCCGGAAACAAACTGCAAGGTCTGAAAAATGCAACAAGTGAAAAATAAGTAGCAGCTGAAAAAAGAGATCAGAGGTTTGGGGACCGGTGTCTCCTGGATACCCAAGGGAGAAATTAGTTTCAGGGAAGATTCATCAGGGGCCATTATTACAAAGGTACTACAGATGATCCCCAGACACTTACTAACAGCCCATGGTTCAGCTTCCACGCAGGAAAGAAAACCTACTAGTGCTAGCACCTTCTCCAGGAAGAGCGTCTCTCTTCGGTTCAGCTGCAGGAAGTACAAGGGTAGCCGGTGTCTTGGGGTGGGCATCACTCTGGGGAACCCTAAGAGACATACATAGAGATTGGAGGTGGGTGGGAAGGGGAGTTGGAACAGTACCTCCTCTATGCACAGGGAAGGAAAAGAAATCTCTCCTTTAAGGAACAAAGAGAAGGGAGAGGGAAAGGAGCTTCCTGGAGAGCCCTGAGAACCTAGAGTGACGTGGGTATGGGACCAGTTGTGTTGATGTACGAGGGGAAAGAGGGAACGTGGCTTTGGAAGGAGTTTGCTCCTCACGAGTCCCAGTTCACTTGGAAGTCTAGATAATTACCGGAGGCAATATAAAGTATTCTAGACCAGTACCAAAGTTCCAAAGAAGTAACTGAGACCCTGGCACACTTCTCCACCCCTGGCCCCACGAGCTAAAGGGCTTGCCACATCTATGTGCCAACCTCTGCAGACAACATGGTCCCCTATCACCCAAGAGCCCTGGGGGTAGACATACCCACTGCCCCTGGGACAGGCAGGTGCATCTTCCAGTTCTGTCCCTGGGGCTCCTCTGGCAGCTGTTTGCTCGGGTCCTTGAGTACCTGCAACAGGTTGACTGAAAAAGGCCAAATCATAAGGTAAGGACTACTGGAACTTCAGGCCTGACCACAGAAGGCTCCTTGGTGGTTTTCCCTATCCAATGGACAGCCTTTCATTTCCTCTGCACATGGTACCATTAGTTCCTTCAAGACTGTATCCTTGGGGTTCATGGACTTTCCTCCTTTACTTTATTTTTGTGATGTGGCATGCACAGGGGGCAGTGAAAAGCATACAAACTATTAAGATGAAGGAATGTAGGGGTATGAACTACAGTTAGAATAGGTAAATCCTTAAGTATTTGTTTAGTCTCATGTGATTCAAGTCAGTTGCAGCTGGTGGGTAGTCAGGAAGACCTGAGTTCAAATCCAGCCTCAGACACTAGCTGTGTGACCCTAGGGAAGTTACTTAACCTCTGTTTGCCTCAGCTTCCTCAGTAAACTGTAAAATGGGGATAATAATATTAACTACCAAGCAGGCTTATTGTGAGACTCAATTGAGATAATAATTGTGAAGTGCTTGTAAGCACAGTGCCATATAAATGCTAGCTATTATATGATTGGCTTCTTTCCCTGATAGTTCACCTCACAACTTCTACTCCCTCAATCCAAGGCCAGAGCTAATTTCTCTCATCTCAGGCCTGAAAGATACTGGCTCCTTTTTGTTTGGCCCTCAGCTTCAGGCCAAAATTGCTCTCTCTGAAGCCACTTAATCCCATTATATGGTAATGTCCCTGGGCCACTCACAAAATTTCCCTGAATTTTCATCTCTTCTTTTCAGGGTACACAGCACCCTCCTGAGTAGCCTCTACCCTCCTCACAAACTGTCCCTCCCAGAATCACCACCCAGGGTTTCCCTCTGGAGTCACAATCCCTTTGGGCAGTCTGGCCGATCCATATGCTTACTCCCTGAACCTTGCTCTAGGATAGACATCTGCAGTTAACAGGAGCACATCTACAACTCAATTGTATTTTAATCACTGCTCTAGCTAGCCCGAGTTTACTCCCAAATCTACTCAGATTCTAGGGAAGGTTATTTTCCTCATACCACAAGGGAGTTTAGGCAGGAGTTTCTATCAGGAACCCAGCCTGCTGCCAAGACAGAGAACTCTTTTGAGGATCCCTCTACCTCATCTTCATATGTAGGAATAGAGGTGCTATGTGGTTCCATTGACCCTGATTCCTCTGCCTAGATAAAGCCCTAAAGATGAAAGGCCTTCTGTATATTTTCCCCAAGGTTCTACCTATAGACTCAAAAAAGGCACAGCATGATAAGGCAAAGGAGCTGAAGTCAACAGACCACACCTGATTCATGCTCCTGGGGTTTTCCACCCCGCCTGGGTGATGATCCCGAGATAATTAGCTTGCAGTGTGCCGGCCCAGCTCCCTAAGATGCAATGCACAGTCTCCACATCTGTACCTGACGAAGAGAAGATCTGATGTTTTGGTAGGGCTCAGGCCTTTAGAAGTCCCAGACTGCTCCTCTTTAGCTAAATTCTGAGATTTTTTCCGAGACAAGGCATGGCTTAGCCAATCCTCCTCTGGTTTTTCCTCTGATGTTCCTCGACTGGGAGACAGGCTGGGTTTGCATGGGAGAGTTGTAGCATTGGCAGATGGCTTCATTCCCGATCCAGGCAGACTAGCCGGAGCAGAGTGCCGGGCTGCAGGACTAGGTCCTGAAGGTGTAGCCACTGCTGAGCCAGCTCTGCTGGATACTTTGGAGGGAGATGGAGGGAGCATGTCAAAGTCCTCATCCTTGAGGCCCAACCAGTCAGCTCCTCCCTTCCCAGTATGAGCAGGGCTGGCTGTGGCTGGTGTACTCTGTTTGGAGCATTGCTCTCCCTTGGGATTGGTGAGACTCTCTGCTGAGAACCTGCTTCAAGACAAGGGCATAAATAAGAGCAAAGGAGAGAGGTCTGTCCCATGGTCTGCTCTGTTAACCTTTGCCAAACAGGGCCCAGGTTCAAGTACCCAAAATAAATAGTGATGTATTGGTGTGGGTCTCCTAGCTACCAAGCCACTGCTCATCCCACTATACTAGGCTACACCTAGAGGGCAATGATTTTGTTATCTCAATCTTCCATAATCCTCTAGAGAATGTAACATAATATAGTGTGGGGGTTCTTAACCTATTTTGAGGCACAGACCCCTTTGGCAGTCTGGTGAAGCCTATGGACCTTCTTCTAAGAAGGATGTCTTTAAAGGCATAAAGTCAAATATATGTGATTATACATGAAATACATTTGTCAAAATACTCAAAAAACAAGTTCACAGGCTCCAGGTTATAAGTCCTTGGCGTGGTGTCACACAAGGCTGGTTGATTCTGACAGAAGCAGCAAAAGGCCTGAGAAAGGTTATTTCTCATGGGATGCAATGCTTCAGGGGCCCCGTCAGGTCCGTACCTACCTGACAGACTGCCGGCGGGACTGTCGGCTCTCAGAGGAGGAAGCCACTGTGGGCTGGTAGGCTCCAAAGGCAAAGTCATCATCTCCCCAGGGATCTTCTTTGTCTGTGAAACAAGGAGCCTATAGCCATGTCTGGGATGGCCCTCCCTTTCTAACTCTAGATGGGTGTGGGGTCCACTTACCAGGCTGTTTTTGGTACTTCTTATCCAGCCTGAACTCCCGGAGCTCCCCAGTGCTTGGTCTCTCCAGGAGTTTGGAGGCAGTTCCTCGTCCCAGTAGCTCATCCAGTTTAGTTCGAGCAGGACGGGGCCCATCCCTGACATGGTAGAATGACAGAGGCACTTCAAAAACATGAATTACTTCAAATAACTGTCTCCTCCCTCCAACTCCATGCCTCTGTTCTCTCCTTTATATGAGGAGAAATGCTGCTCAGATGTGTGCCTCTCAGCTCAGAAGAGTGCCTTACTGGACGCCCTTTTCCTGCTTCCGCTCTGCCTTCGGACTGTCTCCAAACCCAAGGGTGGCCATGAGGTCATCCCCATCATCAAACTTCAACTCCTCCTTCTTTTGAATGGGAGTGTCACCAGGAGTTGAAGAAAGAGAGGTACCTAAAAAACCAGAACTCTGGGTAAACAATAGCAAAGGCAGTACACGCAGGGTCAAAGAAGTGCAACCAACAATCACTGCCACAGGAATTTTGAGGAGCGAGATCACTAGGGGCCAGAAGCTGGGCTGCACAGAAGATGGGAACAAGACCTGAGCTGGGCCTTAAAGAAAGGATGTGACTGAGAAAAGGGAAAAAGAAGGGAGGGCATTAAAGGCACAGACAACACTATGTTGAAAGACTGGGAGGTGACAACATGTGACAATATGCATTTTGTGTTCAGAAAACAAAGAGAACAGGTCATCTGGAATGGAAGAATTTCCAAAGAGGTGGTTCCCAACCCATGGGCAAAGGACGCTCTGGAAGGCAAGGAATTACTGTAGGAGGTTCATAAATCCATTATGTCTACCAAGCATTGTCATTTTGAACTTAATTTGGCCCCTACAAAATAAGTAACATGATTCATTATAAGAAACAAGTCAAACTACCTTCCGTATACTGATTAAATGAATCTATTATTTTTCATATGTATACACATCACTCAAGAACTACTCAGATAATAACTACAAATCACTCTTTAAAGAAATAAAGAAGGGGCAGCTAGGTGGCGCAGTGAATAGAGCACCAGCCCTGGAGTCAGAAAGACTTGAGTACAAAGCCGGCCTCAGACACCTAACGCTCACTAGCTGTGTGACTCTAGGCAAGTCATTTAACCCCAATTGCCTCACCAGAAAAATAAAGTCATCGTTAAAGAAATAGAAAACAACCAGAAGTACATTCAATGATCATGGCCAGGCCATGCCAATATAATAACAATGATGACACTATCTAAATCAATTTACATAGTTACTGCTATACCAATTAAATTACTAAGGGATACTTTATAGAGCTAGAAAAATAATACTTTGAAGAATTTTGATTTGAAGGACCAAAGGTTAGAAACTCAAGGGAAATAATGAAAATAAAGTAGGAATGAAAGGAAATAGCACTTGCAAGCTTCAAATTATATTGTGAAACAGTTTAATTATCAAAACTATTTGGTATTGGCTAAGAAGTAAAAAAGGAAGTCAGAAGAATGGATTAGATGAGAATGAACTAGAAACAAGTGAACTCAACAACCTGGTGTTCAATAAATGTGAGAATATAAATTACTTGGGGGAGAACTCCCTATCTGACAAAAACTGCTGGGAAAATTACTAAGAAATTTGGCAGAAATTAGGTTTAGAGCAATATTTCACTCTATAAACCATAGTAAGCTTAAATTGGACACACATGACTTGAATGTTAAAGATTCTACAATAAAAAATTTACAAGAGAATCAGATCAGACACCTTACCAAGCACAGTGAGGGGGAGAATTCATATCTTAATAAGGAGAAATTCAATCACAAAAGATAAAACAGATAATTTCAATTATACAAAAGTGAAAAGTGTTTGCATTAACAAAGCCAACACAACTAGGATAGAAAAGGAAACCGCTGACTGAGAAAAAAAAACCAAAAACCCTCTGCATGAAACAATTCTCATAAAGGTGTGATACAATATATGTATGGAACACTAATATATAACAATAAAAGCTGGGGGGCAGCTAGATGGCACAGTGGACAGAGTACCAGCCCTGGAGTCAGGAAGGCCTGAGTTCAAATGTAGCCTCAGACAATTACTAGCTGTATGATGCTGGGAAAGACATTTAACCCTGACTGCCTCCAAAAAAAAAAAGCAAGAAAGAAAGAAAGAAAAGAAAAAGAAAAAAAGAATAAAAGCTGTCCCCCAATGGATTGGTGGTCAAAGGATATGACAAACATATGTAGATGCTGTTGTGATTAATACAATACAACTCTGTTGAAAAGTAACAGAAACCTAATGGAATTCATGACACAATGCCTAAAATTTTCTAAAAGAAAAGTAGCATTAGAGAAGTACAGATTCATTGGATTAGTTTCAGACCCTCTGCCCTGGGTGGGTTCCTCCTAAGACAAAAAAAATCTATACTACCCCAGCCCTAACTTTTTGGTTGGGCATAGAGAAAGGCAGGCAAGTAGGCAGGTATCCTGCCCACCAAATTCACCCTCCCCAACCTCATTCTGGTCTGCAGGACCTGTCACAGCCACATGCTCACATGCCTTATGCTCCAGCCATTCACGTTCTGAAAAGCCTATCACCTATCCATTCTGGCCAGGTGCCTTTTATTTTTGTCTTAGGGTTTTGCTTGGGTGGCTCCCTTCCCCTGGGTTGGGCTATGTCTTTAGCATGGGAGAAGCCTGGCCTGACACACCCTGCTACCAGCTAAACTGCTCACCCAACCAGAACAAGTGGTCTATCCACTTCTCCTCTTACCTTGATTTTTAACTATGGTAGTGCTCTTCTCAGGGACTGTTGTACTCTCATTCACAGGTGGCTTCTTGGCAGTTCTTTCCTCTTCATCAGAGAGAAGCCCTGCCAAGGGGTCCTCCAAATCTTTTGGCCAGAAAAGAAAGATGAGATCAAGTTTCAGGGAAATTTATGAAAATCATGCCTTAACTATGGAGAGTCATGCTCTTAGCCTTCCCTTAAGACTTTCAGATGCTTAATAAACACAAATTGTTACTAAATTCTAGGAGACTGCTGTTTGTTAAAATGGATTGTGAATAAAGATGGGGAGTCAGGTGGTTCCCTAATTGCCACTTCAATATGAATATACCATACTCTCTAGTACGCAGTGAGTTTATATAATTTGTAAGTTACAGAACTTGTAACTCACAGCTCAGGTGACAAGACACAAATGTAACATGAAGGGAAAGGTGACTTTTCTAATAATTCATAGACATCTCTAGCTTGACCTGAAGCTCCAAAGTCCATGATCTCGTTTTGTAATTAAGTCTGTAAAATTTATCATCCACACAAAATCTGATTGCCCCCACCCCCTACCCCACTGGGGTGAGAATAAGATCTTTGACATCAGTCTTTATTCTACATCATCTGGTGTATATTGTGATTTGCTTCAGGAAAGTAGGCAAATGTCTATTGCTAAGTTGGCCATACTCTCAAAACTAAATAGGCCTTAGGAGTATAATATAGGGACTTGTGGTACCATCAAAGGAAAACTTCTTGTATGGGCGCCCGGCGCTCCCAGTCAAAGGCACAGGCTTCTTGGTGGAAGTGTTCTCTCCTGCAACAAAGTATGGGAAGTAGAGTCATGCAGTTTTTGTTGATCCTCATGGTCTCCCATGTATCCCATGTCACCCAAATAGCCATGGGCTTCTGGAAGGAAGGATATGAAAATGAGCATTTCTTTGTAGGCCATTGACAGAGCTGACTTATGGTCTGTGGGAAGCCGGCTCACCTCCATCCAACTGTAACAAGATTCTCCAGAACAACCTCGAGTCTGGGAGCTAATTCCATGAGCCTGGAGACAAGAATCTCCAGATGAAATAAAGATTCAAAAGAAATTCCATAATATAATGTTCCACCTTAACCTAATTGGGTTTTCCAGGCCCTGCCCAACTAGGGCTCAGAGGGGCCAGAGTAGTCCTGGAGAGAAGGCAGACTGTGTCTACACACATTCTTGGCTTTTTTTTTAGCCTCATGACCCCAGGGTAGAGGACAGTATACTCCCCTAAAAGCTTTTCCTCTTCACAAAGTCTGTATTCTAGACAAACAAGAGCAAAGATTTAGAGCTGGAATGGACCTCAAGAGGTCATTTAATCCAACCTTCTCATCTTACAGATGAGGAACCTCCAAGGTACAGAGAGGGTAGTGACTTGTTCAAAGTCACACAGGTAGTCACAGGACTTGAACCCAGGGCCACTGAATCCAAATCCAACACTTGCACCATACTTCTTTCCTAGTTGTTCTTTTCTTGCCCTTGTGTACTGTATGGTGCCTAATGTTTGCTGAATGAACTGAATCAAGTATACAAAGACAAGGAATCTTTAAGCCAAGCTTCTTCCAAATCTCTAGTCTTTACAATGGATTCATAGAGTTACTTCCTGCTCACCTCTCTCATTGGCTATTAGTTTTCCTGTAGATCTAGAGAAATCACCAGGAAACTCCTCTTTTCCGGAACCTTTTGCAGCTGTCTTATTACTAGTTAGGTTAGACTTCTTCAGGCCTAAGAGATCAGCATCCATGTCATCCATATCCTAGAAAATCAGGAGGGCAGGGAGGGATCCCCATTGGAGTGCCGTTGGTTTTCATTAGGCAAAAGCAATCAATTCATTTGGCATTCCTGACAATGGCTTTGGGAGTTATTATTACCTTCATTTTTCAAATGGGGAAAGAAAGACTTCAATTAGGGGAATGCCCTATTATAAGATTTGTATGCTAAAAGATGTTCATAAGACTCCAAGACTTTGAAAGTTTCCAGTCTCTTTCTTAGCACTGAGATCCCCATTGAGAACTTCCACAGATTGTGGATTAGTTCTTTTTGGCTGGCTACCGAATAGGAAGAACCGCATGCCTATTTTCGTCGGCTAGAGGAGACTGGCTTACAGCTACTTCTAAAACTCTCCATTTGCACTACAAATAGGAACTGAAATAGGTGTATCATAAGCTAATGAGAAGAAAATCCTGAACAGGGGCAGCTAGGTGGCCCAGTTGATAGAACACTGGTCCTGAAGTCAGGAAGACCTGAGTTCAAATCCAGCCTCAGACCAAACACCTGACGCTTACTAGCTGTGTGACCCCAAGCAAGTCACTTAACCCCAATTGCCTGAAAAAAACAAAACAAAAAAACCCTGAATAAATGAAGACTCTAAAATGGACCCCTTAATGAAAAGTTACCACTCACAAGTAACTAGGACAAGATAAAACCAAAAGTCATAGTGGACTTTGAGGTATTTTGCCTGGCAGAGGGCAAGGCAGATTGGATTTAACTACTAGTTAAAAGGAAGGGGTATTCTTGTTTTAATAATGTTGTCTTCCTGGAGGACAAGGTGCCTAGATGACAAGAAGATATGAGGGAATACGTATTAATTTATCTTTGAGAGGGCAGGATCTGTTCCTAAGAGGATAAAAATTCCAGGCTGACCCACGTAGGTTTTTGTCCTCAGAGACAATGCTGTGAATAAAGAAAAGGAGCTAGAGAATTTTTTTTGAAAGAGTAAGACAGGAAAAGAAAAGATATCCAAAAATGTGATCAGAGGACGAAAATTCCAAAGGATGGAACTCAAAGGACATCAATTGAAATAGGAGGTCAAATGGCTACTATGGGGGGAGTTTTTACCTGAAACCAAAGAGAGTAAACCTAAGGCTGGTACTAGAAAACACCCCTACTCCAAAGACTTAGCCTGGCTCTCCATGAGGACAGTAGTCCCAAGGGTCAGGGCTAGATAAAGGGGCCTGCTGAAATAAAGGAAAGTGAAAACAAGGAACACAGAAAAAAGTTATTTAATGCTTTATACATGGGCCAAGCTGGTTGAGTGATACCAGATTACACAGTTGTAATTTACCTTAGTCTTATAGTTTGGGCTATAAGATTCCCTTAAACTGGTAAAGCTTACTTGTGCACTTGAACAGACAAACATACTCACTGCAGTGGGCAAGCAGTAGGTTACTAATGAACATGAGGAAACACTATGATCCCAGGGAAGCAGTCTTTGGAGGAAACATTTTCTCCCTCTTTGTTTCCTAGTCAGTAGCAGTGAAGTTACCCAGGGCAAATGGCACAGCTATCAGAGTCTTCTACCTTGGGACTGCCCTATTTCATCCCAGGCTAATAGCCGCTTCTTGGCGCGCCTGTCTTTACCAAAGGCCTGATCACTATAAGCTACTAGGTTTCTGGTAACCTCCATTTTTGTAAAAGAATATCCTAGCATTGGGAAGCCTCTCCACACTGAGAAGGTCTATTTATACCCAAAGGTATAAATACCTAAAAGGTCACTGCCTCTGTCAGGCTCAGCAGAGCTTTATTTTGTTTTATACAAAAACCCCTCAGAAATACAATTAAAACTGAAGAAATATTTTTTAAAATGGAACGAGAGCCCCCCCAAAATCAGTTCAGTTCAAATTTTACTTTTCTCCTAAGACTAAGAAATGATGAAAATAGTTCATTACCTTCAGAGACTGTAGCAAAGCCTGTGGGTCTGCATCTGAGATATCAGAAAACTGAGCTCCCAGGAAACGAAATATGTAGAAGGACATACATTAATAAGTACAGAAATATCAACTCTAGCGTAATATCACTCTAGATGGTACATAGAGAGCCAAATAAGATACAAACAGGTCCTCTCTTGGACCCAGTAGCCTCTATGCCTTTCTATTCTTTCCATGCAGAAAGGTCATTATAACCACAAGCACTCAGAGGCTCTGCCAATTATCACCTCCACGGCTGGGCATGATTCTCAGTATTCATGGGAAGCATGCAGCAGGAATAAAATCCAAGGAAACCACAGATTCATGGAGTTCCATTGATTAGCTGAACTTTCAGTGGAAAGGAAAGTTCTTGGCTTTGGGTTCACTAAATAGGTTTGGAGTATTACTTTATTTTAAACATAAACTAGGCACTGTGAGGGGTTTAAAAGCTTTTCATAGTCATAACTTAGGTCATACTAGTCATCACACACTGGTCCTGGTCAACAAGCACAGAGGAACAAATGGCAGTGACCTCGGTCTGTCTCACCTCAGCATCTGCACCTGCCTGGGCTGCCATGGTGTTGAAGAAGTCATCTTCCAGAATGGACCTGGCAACAGAGTTGGAGAATTACAAATAGATGGATTCCCTTACTGCAGCTTACAATTCCAAGGAAGGCAGAGAAGACGGAGGTGCAAATAGCTTTCAACAATTGCTTCTCAGTAAGAGTCAAAATTTTAGCACTAGGGGGGATTTCAGAGATTATCTAGTCCAGTTCCTGACAATTTTTTGGTATTATATACATTCTCGTAGCCTAGTGAAGTCAATGGACACTTCAGAATAACGTTTTTAAATGCACAAAATTCAGAGGATTATAAAGAAAACTAATTATATTGCAAGTTACTAAAATAAAAACAAAACCAAAACCAAACAAACAAGTTCATGGATCCAAGGTGAAGAACTCCTGATCTAGTCTAATACTCTTTTCTGATAAAGAACTTGAAGCCCAGAGACGTTAAGTCATTTTTACCTTGATAAGCAGTGGCAGAAGCCAAACAAGGGCACAAGTATCCTCACTAATGTCTTGATATTTCAACGAACTAACAAGTACAATCAGCAGGGATGGGACGATGGGAACAGAAGCAAAACAAAGAGGAAGGTCAAGCTGGCAGCAAGAAATGGTTGATAAAAATGGATGTCCAGAGACCAATATTGACTCATTCTCACTTTTTTCTGGCCCTCGAAGAAAAGCCCTGAGATGATCCTAGGATATCCCTGGTATTTGCAACTTGTTGGAGGGGCTTCTCAGGTTGTATAGCTGAAAATAAAAATCAGGAGTCATGTGGTTGCCCCATGAAAAGGGCCCAGGGTCAAGAGATTGGAAATTTCTATCACCCCTATACAATCCTGCTGTGGGAGGACAATAAGTACATGCCATGGTCACTACAGGCATATCCTGAGAATGAAGTGACTACATCTTTTAAGTGATCAATTTATATATGTGGGAAAGGAAGAAAATGGAAGGAGGGAGGCATTATAACTAGAAGGATTCCAACACTAGCCCTCTGAGAGCCAATGTAGGGGTGGAGAAAAGGATCTCATCACTCACCTGACCCCACCTTGAGGAAATGGAGGATTTGTGGATGCTCCAAGTTATAAGGTCAAATAAGGACTCCCTTGCTCTAATGGCCTGAGTGGTACAAGAGTCACTGATCTACTTCTACATCCCAAAGGAAATTTTATTTGAATTGGAAGGACTGGAATGCACTTCTTCCCCTAATGAACTGAGATTTGGGCTTCTGGTGACTATACCTAAAATCCTTCCAATCCAGAAGGTCACATTCAGACACATTGCTAACTGACTAGAAATTTATTGAAATAATTCTGAATTGAACATGGTTGGATGGGCTCTGGGACCAAAGAGAAAAGTAAGGAAAAAGGAAGACTAACTTTTTTGGGGAAATACCAAGCCCAATCTAATCCAAAAGAAAACCCAATAAAGGAACATTTACTGTCATCATCCAAAAGGTCACCAAGCATATCATCAATCGAGCCTGGAACAGAAAAGGGAACATCATGAACTCAGAAGAACATTGAGGAGAATGTCTTTTACAAGAATCAAATCAGATACATCCTGAGATCTAGTTAAAACTCCCATGAAACTCAGGACTGAGGCTTAGCCTTCCCCTTTATTCCCTATAATCCTGTTGTCTACCAGTCAGAACACTAAATGGGTTTAAAATTAAATTTTCTGAGGATTGGGGGAATTAATGTTAGTATGGACCTGCATAATTTGGGTCTCTATTGCATATAATTTTAAATCTTCTCTTTCCCAAGCCTGACACATTACACCCTCAATAGAGGGTTTTGATTCATATTTTAAAGGAGGAAAAAGAAGCCATTCACTATGAGCTTCCCTACTTTAGACCTCAAAAGCTGTTTCTTGGCATCATCTTCTAATCTCTTCTCCCTAATTCTAGTTTCTGATGAAGTGGCTTTCACCTTGTTAAGGCCAATTATTCTATCTGTACATCTGACTCCCCATTCTGACTCCTCAGACATATTTTCCCTTCTCATTATCTCTCCTCCCTCTCCACCCCGACTCCAAACATTCTATCTCTTTAAGCTTCAATTTTGCTGCCTACAAACATCCCTAGATCTCCCCCATCTTTATAAAACCTTGCTTGACCCCCATTATTCTCCTCAAGCTCTCAGTTTATATCATCTTTTTCCACGTCCAAACTCTTGGCAAAGATTGTTTACACTTGTTGCCTACATTTTCTTTTCTCTCACTCCTCAAACCCTTCCAGTTTGGCTTCTTTTTCTTTTTCTGGCTGGGCAATGGGGTTAAGTGACTTGCCCAGGGTCACACAGCTAGTAAGTGTTATGTGTCTGAGGCCGGATTTGAACTCAGGTCCTCCTGAATCCACAGCCAGTGCTCTATCCACTGCGCCACCTTGCTGTCCCTCCAGTTTGGCTTCTGATCTTATCACTCAACTGAAACGGTTCTCTCCAAGTTAGCAATGATCAGTGATCTCTTAATTGCCAAATCTGATGGTCTTTCCATAATCCTTATCCTTCTCGATTTGTCTGTGGCATCTGAAACTGCTGACCTCCTCCTGGACACTCTTTTCTCTGGGTTTTTGTGACCCTACTCTCTTGGTTCTCCTCCTGACTAATCTTCTCAGTCTCCTTTGCTGGATAATCAGTGATATTCTGCCCCCAAAGCTGTCCTCTTCTCTATATAGTCTCTCTTGATGACCTTATCAGCTCCCATAGATTCAATTATCATTTTTACACAGATGACTCTAAATATCTGGCCCTCACCTCTCTTCTGAGCTCCAGGCCTATTTCACCAACTGTCTATTAGACGTTTCCCACTAGATGTCCCATCTTAAACTCATCATGTCTAAAACAAAACAATATTTTCCCCCTAAACTCACCCCTATTCTGAACTTCTCTAGTTCTGTCTGTATAATCAATAACTGAGGTACACCACTTAAAATCATCCTCAACTTCTTACTTTCCCTCATGATAATAACAACAATGATAATAGCTAGCATTTCGATAGCTCTTTAAGGTTTGTATAGCACTTTACAAACACTATCTCATTTTATCTTCACAACAACCCTAGGAGGTAAGTGCTATTGCTATCACCCCCATTTTACAGATGAGGAAACTGAGGCAAACAAGTTAAAGAACTTGTTCAGGGTCACACAGCTAGGAAGCATCTGAGTCTGGATTTGAACTTACGTCTTCTTGAGGCCAGGCCCAGTGCTCTATCCACTGTGCCACCTAGCTGCCTAGCTCATCCTTCACATGCAAATAGTTGCCAACACTTGCTGATTCTATTTCCACATATCATTTCCTTCTCTCCATTCACTGGGAATTCCAGTTTTTTATGAGGGATCTGATAAAGTCCATTCTAGGGACAGGCAAGATGCCTTTATTTCAATCACCTTCTACCTTTCAATCCCAAACTTCCTTAGACCTTTAGGCAAAGGGAAAAGTATTTGCTCTATGTGGGCCTCCCCCTACCTACTTCCCATCTCCTATCTCCACCCCAGCCATACCACTGTGCTGGTTACACAGCCAAATCAGAAGAATGTGCTTTTGTTGCATTGGTCTCCCTCAACTCTGGATCTCTTCAAAAATGCTCACTTGCTCATTTTTTATTTAAATATGAAGGCTAGTGAGGCAGGATAAGGGAGTAGATCTCTAGCAACATCATGGCTCCTGTTAGCTCTAAGAAAACATCAAGATGTCAAAGTTATTAAATAGGTGTCCTTTTTGAGTCTTGTAGGGACTCACTTTTCAGGCCTTTCTTCATTTTTGTGGCCTAAATGGAAAAAAAAATTCATATTAAAACAATTAAGCAATGAATGGATATTACAATTTAGGAGACAAGGAGTTGGGACTTATCTTTTGGGCTGAGATAGCAGGACAGGGATAGATCTAGGCCTCTCTTCAACACAGTTAGTTTTTTGTTATATAACTAGAGAGCAAAGAGGCAGAACAGAGGACCCCATTAGATTGACTAAATTGACAAACAAAGAAAATGACAAATGCAGACGGGGCAGTAGAAAAACAAATGCTTTAATATACTGTTGGTGGAGCTGTGAACTGGTCCATTTATTCTGGAATGCAGTTTGGAACTTTGCCTTGAAACTTGTACATACTACCACTACTAGGCCCCAGAAAGATCAAAGCAAAAAAGATTCATATGTCCAAAAAACATATACAGCAGCTTTTTGTGGTAGCAAAGAATTGGAAACTGAGAGAATGCCTATCAACTGGGCAATGGCTGAACAAGTTATGGTACATGACTGTGATGGAATACTATTTTACTGTAAGAAATAATGAAGGGGATGGTTTCAGAAAAATTTTGGAAGACTTGTATGAACTGATACAAACTGAAGTGAAAAGAACAGCACAATTTATACAATAACAACAATATAGTGAAGACAAACAACTTTGAAAGTCTTAGGAACTCTGATCAATACAACCAATGGTTCCAAAGGACTGATGATGAAACATGCTATCCACTTCCTGATAGAGAAGTGATAGAACTGGCATGCAGATTGAAACTTTTTTTTTTGAGGGGGGGACATGCTTCATGCAGGAATTTGTTTTACTTAACTACACAAGGGTGTATAGGGTGGGGAGGGGCAAAATTTGGAACTGAAAACAAATTAAAACTGAATAAAAAAAAGAACAGAGGGCTCTTTATTATAAAGCTTTCCTATTTAGTTTCCTAGGATGACCACATTCTGCAAAAAATAATTTTGTATTCACTAGCCAACAAAGACCATTATGGGAACTAGCTAGTCTTTATTCCTTACTGCTTTCCAACAACCAAATAAGCTACCATCCCACAACAGTATTTCATCACAGTTGTGTATCATAACTTGTTTAGCTATTGCCCAGTTGATAGGCATTCCCTCAGTTTCCAATTCTTTGCTACCACAAAAAGCTGCTGTAAATGTTTTTTGGACATATGAATCTTTTTGCCCTAGTATCCCAGAGCATGCAACTGTATCTCCACCCCAGAAATTAGGGAAAATGCTTTCAACTGAACAATTAAAGGCTCAGAAATCCTTGCCTTAATCAGAAGTATCAATGCTTCCTTCCCCTGTTCCCAAACATAATGATTCTACTTTTGGTACAGCTCTGGCTCCCTTTCTCTCCCAGTCCCCCTGATTCTTTCAAACTATATAAGAGTATCCTACCTACCATCTCAGGGCTCCTGGGACTCCTGTCAACAGGGTCTTTTTGTTACACAGTTCAGGTGGTTAGGTCTGTGACCACATCATGTTTAATCTCCCCTAATGAAGGAAATCGGTGTCAGTACAAAAGATGTTCAGGGTTTCGGCTAAAGACTCCTCCCTAATTTAAAGATAATTTGTTATATGAATATCTGCCTTTATAGTGTGGAGTTGGAAGAGAAAAATGCTGTTTAAAACCAGCATGTCAATAACTGGCTGGGGAGTAAGTTCCATGGACATACAGCTAGTTGATTTCTAAAATCAAAATGCACAAATGTTTGGATGAGAAACAAAAGAGCAAAACAGCAAGTACCTACATGAAGGGAGGATGTCTGGTATCACAGACCATACTCCTCCTTGGACGTGATATCTCTGTGGCCTCCCTGTGTGAAAGGAATGAGCATAAGGGTGAGAAGACAACTTTGGCAACTCTATATCTACCTTAAAAAAAAAAATTTGTTGATGGCTTTTTGGATTTAAGTAGTCATTGGGGGGGGGGGGGGCAGGGCGGAAACATCCTCTTTCCCTCCTGATCGAACCCTCCCTTAAGACAAAGAAAAAAAACAACCCATCAACTATAGACCACCTCTAACAATGTAAATAACGTTTTGTCCTAGGAATCCCTACCTCTATATTGAGTGGAGGGAAGTATGTTTCATTATCTGTTGTCTGGGACCTTCAACATCTCTTCTCCCATCAGATGTGGCTGCTTGGGTTCATCTGTGTATCTTTAAGGATTGGTTTGCCTTATTTATTCATTCATTTATTCCTTATTTCATCAACAATTCGGAATAAGGGATAAATTGAGTGATGCAAAAAGACTTAGAGAAAGGCCTCTGGCTCACTGGGTGGATCTTTTTTCGGAGGCTTTGTGGCATGCATGGACTAGAATGGCATGAGGTGTACAAGGGCGGCTATCTGCCCCGTTGGAGGGACTACCCACATCGATGACATCACAGCTCCACTGGCGTCCAGGCTGACCATTCTGCTGGGCACCAGAAGGCGGGATAGGGTCACCACGGTCACTGGGACACCCCCTGCTCCCCCCTCCCTGGCGGTCCTGGGTCCCAGGGTCACCACCTCACCTGCCAGACAGGAAGGACCACGTCCAGGGCCTCCCCTACACGCCCGAGCTCCACCCCCAATCCCGGCCCGCCATCCTTGCAGTCATCACTCACCGGTCCCCTGCGACCCTGACCTCCCCAATTTAGGCTACCCTGAAGTACAACCCTCCCCACACACTACGGCGGAAGGCCCCACTCCCTCCACCCACCACCGGTCCTGGCGGGCCGCGACTCCTCAGAGGGTGCTGGCCTCTACCGCGGCAGCCAAGGTCCTCGGTAACTAACTTCCACTATTGGCGGGGCACCGCCTCCGCAAGTCACCCTGGGAAATAGAGTCCAAACACCGCCCTAGTCAGGTTGTGGGGAGCCGAGATAAACTACAACTCCCAAGGTGCCGCGCGCCACGGCCGTTAGCGGGTGTGGGAGGGGGCATGGAGGTAGGGTTTTGCCAACTGTGGTTCTAAGTCCGCCTCCCCTTCTTCCTCGGAGTTACTTACAGCGGCCTGAAGGGAAGGGGGCAGAAGGGAGATTTTAGGGAGGGCGGCTGCCGAGAACTTAAGTATTTAAACGTCACCCCAGATCTCTGATGGAGAGGAGGGTGGCGGTCACAACTTTCCCCATGCCCGCCAAGGCAAAGCCTCGAAACCACAATGCGGTCAGCGGCCAAATAAACGACACCGTTTCTCATTTGTACTAATTATACATCTTTATTAACGTTATCACTTCTCACAAAGACCAAAAGACAAGTGTGGGTTCAGGCGGCCTGGTCACCCGGCCCGCCCTTTCTCACGCAAGGTTAGCCATCGTTGGGGGCGACGCTTTAGGGGAATCCCCTCAAAGAGGCGTGCAGCGTGCCCCGCGACAAACACGAGAGCAAGGGAGTTCGGGGGTGCGGATTACAAATACTTGGGAAGGCGCCTGCGCATAGAACCTGTTAGAGGTGAGGAATCCGAGGCCTAGAGGAATGGAATGGCATGCCCAGGTTCTAAGGGTTGGTTAGTGACAGAGCTGAGGCTAGAACCCAAGGCTCCCTTACCGAGATAGTTACAAACCATTTGACTGGTTCCGTGGCCTTAAGTTTGAAATATGATTGTATGCATTTTAAGAGGCAGAAAGTACTCAAGGGTTATTCCCATGATAACATTCCATACTTTCTACAGCAAACTCTTGATTTGTGTAACAGAATAGTAATGAAAAGTAAGCACAGCAGCAAAAATAGCTTTTGTTAATATAGTTCAGAATATTTAAAACCATTCTCCACCCCCCCCAAACTTTTTCCTACTATCTTCACATAATTTTAAATGACAGTACACCAGAATAAGGGACACATGTTTTCCTGCCTCACTTTGAGTGTAGGATTTGTGCTTTATCCGATAAGAGTCCACACCACCCCTCTTTACCTACAAAGCTCTCTTATATGGTGTTTATTGACTTCATCCTAGAAATGGTACTGAAAATTTGAATATAAATTTGACTAGATTAAAAAAAAACCCTAAACCTTAGTTTTAAGTGTTATTTTAAGTCCTTGTTTTACTAGGTGATTTTGTTCAGTGCTCTAAAAATGAAGTCGTATCTGATTATACAATAAGACAAGTCTGATCATGAAACAAGTCAAAACCACTGAAATCAGGTGAATATAGGAAGCCTTTCAGAGTTGAGAATCCAAGTCTTCAAACGTCAGGTTCCCTAATGTCACTCCAGCCCAGTCTCACACCTCAGAACCTCCTCATTAAAAAGGGGATGTTTTGACGCTGGATCTGGGGTTTCAAAAAGTATTATTAGCATGTGTTAAGTAGAGATGTAAAATTTGCCTACTAACATCAAACTGAGGTTCTCAGATATAAACAAAAAACAGAAATGGAGAGGGGTTTAAAAGTTAAGTGGGCAAAAACCAAATAGTTGTAGGAATTTTTCATCCAGAATGGAGAAAGTTATCAAGTCTCCACTTAAGAGTTCTTTCTCCTTAAACAAAAAAAATAAAGATGTAATTTAATAACTATTAACATTCAAAGAGACAGGTACCTTTTAGGTATATGACAAATTCAAATTTATGGCAGGAGCACCTGATTAAAGCTGTTGTGAAGTACCTGAATTCAGTCACTGTGCTACAAATAAGTACACTCTCTATGAATGAAGATAAGCTGATATTTAAGAAAACTACCTAAAAGAACAATGAAATACAAAGGGACTTTGGACAAAGTCCTCTGAGACTACTCAAGCTGAAAATACTGAATACTACTCAGTAAACAGGCATTACAGAACACCACAGAATTCAGGTACTCAAAATACCAACGGGGGAGATTAATCAGTGAATCCAAAAATCACCTGAATTAAATTCACAAACATTTAGTTTTAAATTTTCTATATTGATCAAGACAAAGCATTTCTCCAAAAGGCTTGCATCAACATTATCTAACAAAAGTTAATTAAATAAAACTATCTACTTCAGCACACAGTGATTCTATATTTGATTATTCCGAGGATCTGAAATTTATGTCTGCACTAAGATTTTACTACTATAATAAGAAAATGAATAACAAATTAGACTGAAAGGATTTTCAAAAGTTTGGCTTACTTAAGAAAGCTAGTAGTTTTAAAATACTTCTGGAATCATGTTGTTTGGACAAAACAACTGATGTAAATTTTAAATGATTCTTATTTATTAAAGTAGGTTCCACTTTATTTGCCTTTAGTATTTTTGCACTTGAAGAGAATGAAAATTTTATAAAATTTTATAAACTGAAAAATTCAGTTTTTACTAATTGAGACTGATTCCAAATTAGTGAGGTTTTGCACTCTCAAGTTATCAGAATCCATATGCATTCTTAATTTTAAGAGACTCCATTTGCATTGATTAAATTGGTGCAAAGCATCTGAATCTTAGTGAATTAAACAGTACAAAAAGTGCTGCATGAGTTAGTTGGGAAATGAAACTTGATCTGCTAGGTTTTTAGGGTCCTTCTGATATTTGCAATCTCCTCAAACTTGTTTATCGTGATCACAAAACCAAGTCTTATTCTGATCCACTTAATAGTATCACTACACAAATATATCTTGGTAGAATACATTTAAGCACTATCACTGAAATAATGGTTCTATATTGCAACAAGGATAACATTCAACACCTTAATTTTTTCCTTTTGTCTCTTTCTCACTAACTCAGATATAAGGTCATGTTCCTGATTGACAAAAGAACAGTATTGCTGCCTAACTAGAAGTTAATAATTGTCACACTTAAAAAGTATGATTAATTTTCCTCCAAGAAAGACACAGTTTGAGTAAACCTATAATAATATTTTTAAACTTCAGATTCTTATATTAGTCATTTTACCTGGTCAAATTTCATTAGCGTTATTCCTTTAGTTTGCAAAGATAATTTAACATATTCCAAAGTTTTCTTGGTTTTTATACAGTCCTACATTTGAGTCAAGTAAAATTCTAGGACAGGTAGATTTTCATCAGGCAGGTGTCACAGAAAGAGGTATAAAATTAAATGACTTCTGCTGTTTTATATTACATTGATTTCAATGAAATCACAAAGTTCAATTAAAAGCTACATCTTAAATCTTTGCTACTGAACAACTGTGCAAATGAGACTTTAATAAGAAAGGGACTTTTTAGCATTTCAGATATAGCTCCTTAAGAGCAGAAAGAAACTAAAAAATCACACTTGCACTAATGAGTTGCTAACCTGTGTGGTCCTTTTTTTTCCCCCCAGCTACAGTGACTCAGAAGAGCTGTTCTCTATTTCCTTTCAGAAAAGATTTGCCCTCATTACCCCTTTCATAGAGACCAAGCACCAACCACTATTGTCTTTAGGGTGCTATTTAATCATTTTAATTTTGAAGTGCTAACTTTATTCTTAGTCCTCACAGAGGTAAACACTGCTTCTCATTGGGAAGGATATAAGTAGAAAAGCAGCTACAGTACTTAGTTAAAACTAAAGGGATAAGGTCAATGAGCCAATTTCTAATCATACTAGGAAGGTGCTGCCACAGAATGCTTGGGCTGGGAAATGTTACTGGGGCACAAGACACTTGTCCATAGTATTTAATTGTCAAAGGAGAAAATGAATAGTGGGGAAAAAGGGGTCTGCCACAAAGCAGTGGTACTAAACATTTAGATGGACCTCCCCTCTCTACTCTAGTTCCTTATGGTATACTTTTTGAGACAGTCCCAGGATTATAAGAGTTGTGGGACATTTGCAGGCAAGCCTGCAAATTGAGGTTCTACTGTACCTCAAAATATACCTTTTGCTTAAAAACACTTACTCATGCTTAAAATCTATCCAGTGATTAGCAGTTATAACTTGAAAAGTCAACTACTTAGTAGTTAAAAACTACTAATTATCACAGAGGTCACAGACCACAGAAATTAGCAGCATTATGAATAGAAGCCATACTATATTTTTATAAAGCTTTTCTGAATGCTTAAAAAGTCTCTCTCACTATTAATTGCACTTAAGACACATCCATTTTCTATTCAATCTCCCAAATATGTCCATTTTTCTTCATTTATAAAAAGAGGATAAGGGACCAATTTATTATTTGTTCAGTATTTGATAAAGATTCCATTCAGGATATATGCATCCAGTGTAAAGGAAGGCAAAGCATCTATGCTTTCTGGAGCTGATAGGGTTGCTTATAACAGATTTCACAGCTTGGACTGCAGTGGCTTCAGGTGTTTGTGATAAGATTCATGGACCTGTAGAAGAGGAAAAAAGAAAAAGTTATTGACAGCATGGCCTACTAGTTTTAAATTATTTACTAATTTCCAAGAGAAAAGTGCTGCTATGAACCTATTTCTACATATGGGTCCTCTCACTCTTTTTAACTTTTTGAGGGCAGTATCATATTTTTGAGGCCTAGTATCAATACCCCTAGAATCAAAGGGTATGCACAGTTCAATGATTTCTAGAGTATGGTTCCAAGATGCTTTCCAGAATGGCTGGACCACTTCATAGCTCCAAAAGTAACGCACTATTGTGTCCACAGACAATATCTAAGACAATGGGCTAACACTTACATATACTACTTTTAATGTTTGCAAAGGGCCTTACATGTATTATCTCAATTGATCCTCAACAACCTTGTGAAGTATCATAATCTAAATTTTACGGATGAGAAAACTGAGCAATTCAGTAACACAGGATCATAAAGCCAAAAATTGTCAAGTACTGAGAGTACTTGAACTCAAATCTTTCTGACTCTAAATTCAGCCCTATTTTAACTTGTATGATTCTCTCAGTCTCTTATTTGGCCAAGAATTCTGCTATCCAAAATGGCCCAAGTTATTTCCTTCCCTGATTCTAATCTGTTTTTTATGACACTTTTTATAGTTGGGCCATGTATTCTTTTAGAGCCTATTGTGGTAAACAGTATCTAGTACGTTGATCTAAACCTAATTTCTATCACACTACTTTCTAGTTTCCCCAGCAGTTATTGTCATATTGTGAGTCTTCCCCTCAGTAGTTGGAAGCTTATTTAACATTATTTGGCTGTTTGTCTGTCTCTCAGACACTCCAAGCTGTGTGACCCCGGCCAAGTCACTAACCTCTGTCTGCCTTAGTTTCTTCAACTGTAAAATGGGGATAATAATAGCATTTATCTCCCAGGGTTTTTGTGGGGGTCAAATGAGATAATATCTGGGTCTTGTGTACCTAATTTATCTGTACCGCTGATCAACTTTATTTTTAATCAGTATCAAATACTTTTGATGATTACTGCTGTTCGAGGCATAATACAGCTAAGAAAGCCCCTTCTACTATCATCTTTCTTCATTATTACCCTTGAAATTCTTGATATTTTATTCTAGATCAATTTAGTTTTTATAAGCTAAGTGAAATAAGTAGAGTCAGGAGAAAATATATAGTGACAGTAATGGAAAGGAGACCTACCACAAAACAGCTGAAATGGAAAATTTCATAATTATAAAGAACAAGTTTGGCCCCAAAGAAGAGACAGGATAAGACATTTTTTTCCTCCTCTTGTGCAGAAGTTGGGGTCCACAGGGTGGAACAATGAATATGATAACAGATTTCTTTTCCAATGAGTTAACTGGTTTTGCTAACCCTCTCAAAAAAATTATTTGTTTCAAGGAATGGTTCTTTGGGAATAAAGTAGTGGCAGGAATACATGGGAAAATCTAGGTCACATAAAAATGAAAGATATTAATCAAATCTCTTTTTAACAAATTCTGCTCTTGCCAGCCCCTTATTTGAACTCAATATGAATTTTTATTTCAAGTGTGTTTCTTGCAAAGAACGTATCACTGGATTCTGCTTTTTAATCCATTATCCTCCTCTGTTTTATGGGTTCACAGTTAAGATTAGAGGGTATATTTCCATTATATCCTCTTTGCCTCTCCCCCTCTTTTTTATAGAGAAGGTGGTACAAGAGAAGGAATTTTATCAACAATACTAGTGTTATAAAAAAAAAAAAAACAAAAAACCCAACAGCTCCAATCCTACTGCCCCTCTGTTTCTCTAGCCCAGATCCTGTAATTGACCCTTATACTTTCTTTTCTTTCTTTCTTTCTTTTAATACTCCTAGTGATCTGCCTTCTGAAACTGAAGTTTGTTTTGCTTTTCTCTTCCTGACTACCCATTTTGTTGCCTCATGGATTCCTACTGGGTCTATTCTAATTTTCAGAGGCTCCTATCTGAACTTTCAATTTTTCCCTCTCCAGAGCTATTTCAATTTTTGTCTTGTTTCATTTCTTTGAAGTACTCTTGTAGTCCCTGGAGTTAAGCCTCTGAGACTCTGCTGGTGACTGTGGAGTAACTCTCTTCTAGGTTTTCCTTGACCTATAATATTTCTTCATAGGCTTGGTATCTTCTTACTCCTATCTCCAGCCTTGAATCCTGGTTTGGGACTTCTCAGCAAGGTGAGGCTCTACTCCTTTCATACTCTTAGACAGGATGGTCCAATGCTTTTTTGGTTCTGATTTTGATTTCCTTGTTTCCTGCCACTGGCTTCCACCTTCCTCATGTTTACAGAACTGGCAACACTTCTGAGGCTCCAATCAGTTCTATGGTTGGCTTTCCTTGCTCTGGGAGCTAGATGGTCTTCCATCTCTCCTAGGGCTGCCTTGATCAGGGCCCTATCATGGGTTTCTGCCGAGTTTACCCGCTTTGGTGCTGGCTTGATGCCAATGTCAATATCTTCAGCTTCTGCCAATCTTTTTGTATAGCCCTCCCCCTTACACCTAAGGGTTTTCTTTCGATTTCTTGGCCACTCTTCAATCCAGTGCTGTTTCTAGATCATTTCTGGAGTATAAGTAGGAGAGTTGGGCTCCTGTGCATCCTTTGACACAGCTATCTTAACCAAGAACCACTTTTCACAGTTATTTCTTTCCATCTCCAACTAAAGATATATACATAAATGCAGATTTGTAATGGAAAACCAATATTGATTACGACTCAATGGTGAAAACAATGTAACTGAACAAAGGTTAATTCTTACCTCTGATTTATTCAGTGGAGATTTCTTGGCCCATTCAAACATATTTTCATAAATATTGCCATCATAGCGGCCAAGCACAGAGCCAAGTGAAACATCTTGAAAGTCAAATGCATCCACCAAAGCAGCAGATTCGGGGCGGATTATTGTCAGGAGCTCCTTCACCTGCTGGTTCACTTGGGTAAGCTGGGACTCTGTCAAGATGCCCCCCTGAAAGGGACATAAGGAATTTCATTACTATTGATACAATTCTGCATATGAATTACAAAAAACTGAAACTGATGGTTATAAACCTGGCCATGGACATTCTCCTGCCAAAGTTCAGCATTTAGGCTTGAAAATTACTAACTCAGTGGAAAGAACACTGGCCCTAGAGTCAGGAGGACCTGAGTTCAAATCCAGCCTCAGACATCTGACACTTACTAGCTATGTGACTCTGGGCAAGTCACTTAACCCCACTGCTTAGCCGCCCCCCCCAAAAAATTTACTAACCTGTAGAAAGTCCCCAGAATTCTGACTGATTCCATACAGGGCATATAAGAGGCACAAATTCTTCAGGACTGCTTGAATGGGTTTGTCATCAACTTTGGAGAGATTTCCAGCAAAGAGCTTTACTACCACATAGTGACAATGAGCCTAGATAAAAGGGGAAAAAACATGAAAGGGTGAGAATAACTTACATGAAAGAGGGTATTTAATAACTTAAATAAGAGGATGAAGGTTCTTTTGAACTTCTACGAATAAATCACTGACCTCACTTGCTCGTACAAGGTCCACCGAGGTTAAGTTCCATGCTATCTCTTTGCTTTTTCTGTGCTTCATTTCGGCTTGAAGGTTCCTTGCTGCAGCTTCTACTAATCTGTTAGGAGAAAAAAAAATTGATTTTCCAGAAATAGGTATTATTATAAGCTCCCTCAATTTGTTGGCCCTTGTGACCACATAAGCTTATAGAAGAACATATTTTATTTTTCTTTTCATCTTTTTTTATCCTCTATCTCCCTGCCCAATGGAACAACTGGGAAAAAAAAACAACAAAAACAAAACAAAACAAAACAAAAAAAATCCCCAACAAACAATCCAGCAGAGCAAATTTCCATATTGGTTAAGTTCAAAATTTTAAGCCTCATTCAGAATTTCAAGTCAATCACTTCTTTGGTGAGACGGGTAAGTGGCATGATTCATCCTTAGAGCTCTGAAATTATGGTTTTATGTCCTTAAAAGATGTTTTTCTTTACAATGTTGACACTATAAATTGTTCTGCTCACTCTGCTTTGCATCAGTCTTCCTACTTTCATCTAAAACCACACATTTCTTAAGGTACAATGATATTCCATTATATTTATTCCCAAATGAATTTCCAAATAGATGGATACCCCCTTAATTTCTGGTTTGAGGATACTACAAAACGAGCTGTAGTAAATATTTTTGTATAAATGAGTCCTTTTCCTTTGTTTAATCTCTTTGGGACATAGACCTAGTAGTGGTATTGCTGAATCAAAGGGTGTGAAAAGTTTTTTAAGTTTTGGGGAATAGTCCAAATTGCTTTCCAGAATGGCTTCACCAACCATGTATTAATGTGCCTATTTTTCCACAGTCCCCTCAAACATTTATTTTCCTCTTTTATCACCTTTGCCAAACTGATAGGTATGAGTTACTTTATTCTGCATTTCTCTTGTTATTAGTGATTTAGAGCATTTTTCCATATGGTTATTGATAGCTTGGATTTCTTCCTTTGAAAACTATCTGTTCATGTCTTCTGACCATTTATCTAATGGGGAATGACAGTCTTATAAATTTGAATTAATTCTTTATATATTTTGGATAGGGGATCTTTCCCAGAGAAACTTACTGCAGCTTTTCTCCCAGTTAACTATTTTCCTTCTAATTTTAACTATATTACGTTTGTGTAAAAACTTTTCAGTTTTATAATCAAAATTGACCATTTTATTTTTTGTGATCTACTCTATTGTTCATGACTCTAGGAGTCGTGAACTTTTCCTCTTTCCAGATAGCTGAAAAGTAATTTCTTCCTTGTTCCTTTAATTTGCTTATGATGTCTTCTTGACTGCTCTGTAGCATTTGGCACTGTAGATCACTCTTTTCTCCTTGATATTTTCTTCTCCCTATGTTTTCATGACACTACTCTCTCCTGTTTCTCTTCTTACCTGTTTGACCACTCCTTCTCTGTCTTCTTTGTTGGATCTTCATTAAGGTCATATCTACTAATCACGGGTGTCTGCACAGAGCTCTGTCTTGGGCCCTCTTTTCTTTTCCTGATATACTATTTTGCATGATTTAACTGCCTATTAGACATCTTGAACTAGATGCCTTGTAGACATCATCAAGTCAACATGTTCAAAACATCTCATTATCTTTCCCTCAAAACCTTTTCCTCCAACTTCCCTATTATTGTTGAGGGTATCACCATCCTCCTAGTCCCCTACGTCTCCAACCTTGGTGTCATCATCCTTGACTCCTTACTCTTCCTCAACTTTGAATATCAATTTATTGCTAAATTCTGTCAATTCTACCTACAAAATATCTCACCTATATATCCTGTTCTCTCCTTTGACCCTGCTACCACCCTAGGGAAGGCCCATATTATTCCTAGATTTCTGCAATAGCCCGTTATTTGTCTCCCTGTGTCAAGTCTCTCCTCACCGTAGTCCATCTTCCACTTAGCTGTCTGAGTGGATCTTCCAAAGCACAGGTGTCACTATGTCACACACCCTCTCTCTCATCCAACAAATTCTAATGGCTCCCTATTATCTCCAGGACCAAGTATAAAATTCTGTTTGCCTTTCAAAGTCTTTCATAATCTGGCTCTTTCCTACCTTTCCAGTCTTCCTACACATACTCTGTAATCCAGTGACATCAGCCAACTTGCTGTTCTTTGTACACGATACCCCAAAGCTCTTGACTCCTGGCACTTTCACTGGTTATCCCCTATGCCTGGAACTCTCTCTCTCTCCTCATTTCCACCTCCTGGCTTCCTTGGTTTCCTTCAAGTCTTAGCTTAAGGCCCACCTTCTGCAAGAAGCCTTTCTCAGTCCTCCTTAACCTTGTGACTTCCCTCTGAGACTAGCCCCAATTTATCTTGTCTATATCTTATTTACACAGTTATTTGCATGTTGTCTTTCCCAGTAGATTGTGAGCTCCTTAAGGGCAGGGACTACCTTTTATGTTTAAGTCACCTATCCATTTGGAGTTTATCTTAATAAGACACAACAGCATATTTTAGCATTTAAACGTACCGGGCTGCTCGATGTTTATAGGCTTCTGCGAGGCTGTCTGGGTTGTTGATATCCACCATTGCTGGCCAAGCTGCCACCTGCTGTGGCTGGATGCGCTGACTAGGCAGGTCATTCAAGTAGGACACCATGCCACCCACCAACTTTCCTGAGTGAACTTGATCATAGCTTTTCATCAAAAACCTAAAAGTCATCAAGTATGTGAGCACTAAATCATATTGCTTTCAATGAGACAAAGGAGGAAAAAAAAAACCCCTAACTCTCAGAACTCAGGACTGGAAAGGAGCCTAGAGCTCATCTAGCTCAAAGCCCTCATTCCACAGAGGAAGGAGAGGCCTGGACAGGTGAAGTGACCTGCCGTGGTCCAGGGATCTGGAGCCATTTTGGGCCAAGAAGGCTGACAGGGGTCTTAAGTGTGTATAGTTTAATCACAGTATAATAGGGGAACTCCTCCCTAAAGTCATATTCCAAAGTCTTCCTGTGTCATGGACGTGATGCTGGGTTCTCAAGGGCACTGCTACAGGGGAGCACAAGTCCTGGCCTGTCCCACAAAGAGGGAAAATACAGTTCTGCACTCATACTACAAGAAACGAAATCAATGGCTGTAAACTTCTCTATAAATAGCCTTCTATGAAAATTCAGGATTTAGGCTTGAAAATTACTAACCTGCAGAAAATTTCCCATATTCTGACTAATTTCATACATGGCACAAAACAGACATGAATTCTTTATGGTAGTTTAAATGTGTTTGTCATTTGGTCTGGAAAGATTTCCTGAAAAGAGCTTTGTTACCATATAGTGGCAATACACCATTATTTTCACTCATTAGTATTTCAGGACCAGCCTGAGTTCAGAGAGGCTTAACAAGGTGACAAGATGATGAATCTCTTTGCCACAGCAACTCCGGAAGACTTCTACTAAAGGGTTCCGCTCTGTGTCCACTGAAGGAAGCCCACTAGCCAATGAATGACAGATTGTTTGAGGTATTAAAGCAGACCAGGGAAAAATGCTCACTCAGTTTAGGACTCAGGATGAGAAGTTATAGAAAGTGTCTTTCAGGGACAAATAGATTTATCAAGAGATGTCAGCTATGAATGCATGAGCCCTTACCGAGCTGTCTGGAGCATCATCACAGTGTTTTCTCCTTCAAAGGTGCAGGTGGGGGTAAAAGTGACATAAATGTTTGGGAGGCCACTGCAGTGGGAGTATCCATGCCCGCCACAAGCCATTCGGCAGGCTTCAATGCCAGAATTCGCTGTCCAAGAGGTGAAAGCCTTAAGCCCAGCTGTCAGTGCATGAAGCTAAAGAGGAAAAACATATATCCATAAGAATATATATGGCTGTGATGAGAAATGTTAGTAAAAGTATATACGAAGTAAAATCAAATATCCAGGCTAACAGCAATAAAAATGTTGCAAATATTGGATGATATTCTAATTTACAAGTATGGTCATCTAATGGACTTGAACTCAATATTCTTGATAAACTCTTTATAATAGACTCCGTGGTACTTGATAGTGTAGCCAGAGTCACCCATTTGCACTTCCTTGGTTGAAGAATGAGTAATTGGGTACAAAACATCCACAATACTAGCTTTAAAATAAACTTGCCAAAGAAAAATATAGCACTTAAGCCTCTTTTCGTTTTCTGAACTATTAAGAAATACTATTACATCAGTACCTTGTTTTAAGGTCCTTGGTTTCATTTGAATGAAACAACTACTCAGCCTTGTCATAGAAGACAATCAAGGTCAGGATGGGACTCAGCCTTGTCATAGAAGACAATCAAGGTCAGGATGGGACTTTAAAGTCCCTGATCCTAAGAGGCTTTGCGGTGATCGAACTAGGAGTGGAACTGGCCAGTTTCTCCATCCGACTTAATTCCCATGACCAGGAAAAGGAGCTTCCCCGTCATCCACCCTTAGCTACACCCAGAGATGGCCATACCCTTGACCTTGCCATCCCCCACATATCCATTTCCACATTCATGTGGATCACATTTGATCACGATCTTTTATCATTCCATTTTTTTCCTTGGCCATGCCAGACCAATCTCTGTGACCTCCAATCCCATCACCCTTCAGTTTTTTTCTAGGCCATCATCCTTGTACTGGTTATACTCTATTCCCTTCCCAATCTGTTGGTGAACTTTTTCAATTTTACAATTATCATCTATTCTCAAATCCCTTATCTCCCTGTCCTCTTGCTAATTATATCTTGCCAAACTCCATCCTTCTCACCACCATGCCTTAACTACTGCTACAGCTTTTTAAGTAGTCTCTCCCTACTCCAATGGGGCAGCTGGGCCTTGGGTCAGGAAGACTTATTTTTTTAGGTTCAAATCTGGCTTGAGACACTTACTAGCAGTGTGACCCTGGGCAAGTCACTTAACCTCATTTGCCTTGGTGTCCTTATCTATAAAATAAGCTGGAGAAGAAAACAGCAAACCATTCCAGCATCTTTTCCAAGAAAACCCTAAACGGGGTCATGAAGAGTAAGACACAACTGAAACCTCTAGTATATTCCTTACACGGTTGCCAAAGTGTTCTTTCTAAAAAGCATGATCTGACCACATCACCCTCCTCAATTCAATAAATTCCAGTAACTCTTTATTACCTTCTCCTCTGAAGTCTTTCTTTTCAAAAATTTTTTTCCACCCAATGAAAATATAATAGTAGCTGGAATATATCAACCCCATATCTCCTTTCTGAAGGAGTACAGCACCTGACTCACCATCTTCCTTTCCTCTCCAACTCTTGCCATTATACTAGAGGACTTGAATATTCATGCAGATGCTCTCTCAAACTCCCTAACTTCTCATTTCTTCAACCACCTAAAGTCCCACGTCTTCTTATTTCACTCTATTTCTGCCACACATAGGAGTGGTTACATATTACAGCTTGACATTACCCACAGGTGTTCCACTTTCCTAATCAGAATCTCTGTCATTCTTCTATCTGACCATAACATCCTATCATTTCACCTCTTCCTATGCACTTCATCCCCCTGTAACTTCTATTCATTCTCATGGAGACCTCCATTCCCTCCACACCTCAGAACTTTCCCAAGCAATTATCCCTGCTAGGATTTGACTCCATAGTAAGCCATTTCAATTCTATGATGTCCTCTGCTTTTGAATTCCCTGCCCCTTTGTTCTATTGTCATTTTCCCCATAGCAAATCTCAGCCTTGGATTACTCCCATCTGCCTACTCCAATACTACTTACCAGGTGTTAAATGAAGCTGGAGGAAATCCCACAAATATGCTAAGTACATTAAAAATCCATGTTATTCAACTAGAACTGGGTCCTCATGCAGTCTTTTTATTTCTTCCCAAATGACTTCCTATCTCACTCTTCCTTCCCACAGGAGCTATTCCAAACTTTCGGTTCCCTACTCAAGCCTCCCCACACCTGTGTCCCCCTGCCCAACTGCAGATCTTGCCTTTTATTTTACTGAAGAACTGAGACCATTTGATGTGTGCTCACTCTAATGCCATTCCCTTCATCTCCTCTTCTCTCCTCCTTTCCCCAGTGTCTTCTCCTTGCCAAGACCAACCCTGATCCCATCCACTCCCTTCTTCTCCAGAGGTTGGAATCTTTAATCACCCCCCTTTTTCACCTTCTATTTATCCCTATCAATTGGTTCCTCCTGGACAACTTGGAACCTGCCCGAATCACTGCCATCTTTAAAAATGCTTTACTAGACTCTACCACTCCCTCAGGATAGCGCCCTTTATTTCTCCTCTCAGTCAAATCCCCTGAAGAAGGCATCTACAACTCATTGTCTCCACCTCCTCTCCTCTTACTCCTCAGCCCTTCGCAATCTGGTTCCCGACTTCACAGTCAACTGACACTGCTCTTTCCAAAGACCTCCAATGAGTTCTCTACCAAATCTGTCAAGTTTTCTTTTCAGACCTAAATCTTCTCGACCCATCTGCTGAATCTGAGACGGCCGTCCAATCCTCTCTCCTCTGAGTTTTCTTGGTTCAACTCTTACTCAGTCTCCTTTACTGGCTCATCATCCATATTACACCCCCTTACTTTGAGTGGTTCCCTAAGTACTAAACCCATCAAATCCCATACATTTTTAACTATCTTCTCTATGTACTGGTTCCTAGTTCTAGATATCCAGGCTCAGTCTCTCCTGACCTTCAGTCTCATATCACTAACTGCTTAGTGGACACTGGATATCCCAGAGACAGCTTAAATTCAACATGCCTTAAAATGAACTCATTATCTTTCGCTGTCAACCTTTCCTTCTTCTAGACTTCCCTATTTTAATTTTTTAAAAAAATTTTTAGGCTATTGGGGTTAAGTGACTTGCCCAGAGTCACACAGCTATTGAGTGTTATGTGTCTGAGGCCAGATTTGAACTCAGGTCCTCCTAACTCCAGAGCTGGTGCTCTATCCACTGCACCATCTAGCTGCCCCAGACATCATCATTCTTATCAACCTCCCAGTTTTGTAATTTTGGGCTTTATCTTTGACTCCTTGCTCTTCCGCACTCCACATGCCCAATAAATGACCAAATCTTTTCTTCTACGTTTACATCTCTTGCTTCTTATCCATCTCTCTACTCACAGAACTATCGCCTTAGTTTAGGCTCTCATCACCTCTTGCCTGGATTATAGTAACAGTTTCCTGACTGTCCCCATGTCTCAAGTCTTCCTATTTCAGTCCATTCTTTGCACTGCTGTGAAAATAATTTTCCTTAAGTGTAGGTCTGACTACATGATTTTCCTATTTTACCAGCCCCAGGAGCATCCTATTGCCTCTAGGAAAAAACATACTCCTTCATTTAATTTTTAAAGCCTTAAAATCAGCCCCCAACCTAGCTTTTCGCCTCAGTGGACATTACTGCCCCTCCTGCACTCTGCAGGCCAGGAAACCAGCTTTCTCCCTGTTCCTCAAACCAGGTGTCTCCATGCCCTTGCCTGGGCTGTTCCCTTCATGCCTCAAAAATACTCCTCCTTACCCCTGTCTCAGAATCTCTCTTTATATTTACCCTGAATATATTTTCACACATACAGTATTTTTCATCTTGTCCATCAGAATGTAAGCTCACTGGGGAAGATTTACTTCATTCCTTGGACTCATATCCCCAGCATACTGCTTGGCACATAGTAGAAGCTCAATAAATAATTGAAGGATCAGCTGAAGGACTGGGTTGATAGATTTAGTCAAAGTCCCTTTTTTATCTTCTTACACTTTACGTCCTCCAGACCCTCCAGCTCTCCGGGCCTTCTTGCTGTTCTTTCCACATGACACTCTCTCCCAACTTTCTGCACTTTCACTGGCTGGTTGGCTCTCATGCCATAAAGGCTCTTCCTTATCACCTCCAACTTGTGGAATCTCTGGCTTCCTTCCAGACTAAACTCAAACTCCATCTTGTGCAAGTATTCTTTCCCGACCCATCTCCCCTCCCCCCAGCTGCTAGAGCCTTCCTCTCCAGATTCCCTTACATCTATTCTGGATGTATCTATTTATGTATATGTTGTCCTTGAGAGCAAGGACTGTTTCTGCCTGCACTTAGCACTGTGCTTGGCACTGAGTAGGTACTTAAAAAAATCCTTGTTGAATGACTAAAGTATTTCTTTGGGTTCAAAGAAAGAATGAAGAAGTTTTGTCTCGTTTCTTGAATACCATAAAACATAAGAAGACAATTCCTAGTTTAGGGAGAATTCAAATTAGCAGAGGGAACCTTGCTTGACTCTTCCTCCAAGTAACAATATTTGCAAATATTAATAAACTGTTTCCTATAGACATTGGCTAAATAAATACCATGTGCTCTCCAAGAAAGTTTCTTCCACACTATGCAAACCCATACTATATATATCTTTATTTCTGATATTCAATTTTAATCAGAAAAAACTTCCTATCTTTTCAAAAAGTGTCTGGGGGCATCTAGATGGCGCAGTGGATAGAGCACTGGTCCTGGATTCAGGAGGACCTGAGTTAAAATCCGGCCTCAGACACATAACATTTACTAGCTGTGTGACCCTGGGCAAGTCACTTAACCGCACTGCCTACCCCCCCCCAAAAAAAGAAAAAGTGTCTGGAATATTTTTATAGTCTTTAGAATCAGTCTACTTTCAGTATTCATAGAATTGTGGAGTTGAAAGATGCTTCAGAGGTTATCTAGACCAACCCACACTTGAACAGGAATCCCTTCTACATCATCTCTGACAAAATGTTCATCTACTTAACAACCTACAGTGATAGGTCATTTAGTTACTTCCTGAAATTTTAATGATTAGAAAGTTCTTCCTTTATTATAAAGATAAGGATCTGTGAAAGACTTAGTAACTCTGATCAACACAACGACCTATCACAGTTCCAAAGGACTCCTGATTAAAAAATGCTATCTCTAGATAGAGAAACGATGCACTTAGAAGTATACTGAAGCATATTTTTTCTTTTTCTTGTTTTCAAATTTGTTTTGCATGACTTCATATTTGTAATGGGTTTTACATTTCTCAGTTGGTGAGGAAAGAGTTGGGGGAGGAAGAGAATCTGGAAGTGACAATAAAATAAAACTGAATTAAAAGTTCTTCTCTAGATTGAAATCTGCATCTCTATAGTTTCTATCCATTGCTACCATCATGGTCCTCCTTCCCAAGTCTGAACACCTCAAGTTCCTTCAGAGAACTTTGTACCTAGGGCATGGTTTTCAGCTCACTCACTATCTTAGTCACCCTTCTTCTGGGCACATTCTAGCTTGTCAATGTCTTTCCTAAAATGTGGCTTCCAGAACTGAACATAATTCTCTCTATATGGTCTGACCAGGGTAGAATACAGTAGAACTATTACTTCCCTTGTTCTGGACACCATCTTTCGATTAATACAACCTAAGATTATAGGAGGTTTTTTGGCTGCCACTTCACAGCTAACTTATATTGAACTTACAATTCAGTAAAATTCCTAAGAGGCTTTCATTTAACCGTTGTCTAACTACACCTCCACCATCCTGTACTTTAACCCAAGTATAAGACTATTTTAATCCTTAATAAATTTCATCTAACTAGGTGCTGTCCATCATTTTGGTGCTGAGATCTTGTTTGGATCCTAATTCTGTCACCAATGTATTCATTATCCCTCCTAGCTTTGTGTCTCCTATAAATTTGAGAAGCATGCCATCCAGATCTAAGTAACTGATGAAAATATTGAGCAACACAAGGTAAGGACAGAATGTTGGGGCACTAGACTATAGACCTAAGCTGAAACTGACTGCCACTCTTTAGGTCTGGTGAATCTGCTTCAAATCCACCTAAGGGAGAAAAAGCTCTACACCCTTGTATTACAGCCAAAGTCAGACACAATTTGCTAATATTTAAGCATTTGACTTGGAGAGAGGCCCAAAAGGCATCCCCTTGCACTTTACAGTTATGAAACAAAAGATAAAATTCCACAGCAAAGTAAAAAAGTACATAATTTAGATTTAGGGTTTCTGATGTGCTTAAACAGTACAATAGTAATGTCGGCCTACCTTTGGAGAACTAGCTTCTTAAAACCAATTACAGCCTCTTTAACTATTACCTTTTAAGGATTTATACAAAAAAGACACCTCTCTTAACTGGATTAAACAAGGAGACACTCCTACTTCTGGTTTGTTCAGAAAAATAAGACTTGGTTTTTAGGGAATCAAGATTCCTCTCTGAAATATGCAAGGAAGACTGATTAGGTATTTAGCTCCAATAACTTCAGACCAGGACACTGTCATAGTATTTTTTCCTTAACATTTTATAAAACAACTGAGCTCTTAGTGCTGTAAGCTTCTACACACTAAACTGTATTATCATCCAACCAAGTCTCCTTTTTGTCTACAAAGACGGTATGAGAGATTTTGTCAAAGGCCTTACTGAAATTTATGGATGCCATGTCTAAGGTACTTTCCTGATCTACCAGTTTAGTCACCCAAACAAATAAATACCTCGGGTAGTTCACTCAGGTTCCCTTGGTTGATGTCCACATTAATGCGATGATAAGTTTCCTTCATGTAGGCTCCCACAAATTGAAAGGCATAGGCAGTGGCCAAGAGAGGAAAAAGTTTATACTGCTGGGTCTGAAAATCCAAGATCTGGGGTTCAGGATCTCTAGAGCAAAATGGGAATAAGGAAAATAGGTTTCACAGATGCTGACAATTCTTCAGATGTTCAGTTATGATTTTTCCATTAAGCTTCTTTTCTGTCCAAGCCAGGATAGTATATACTAGAGCAGATTCCAAGGAAGTGACAATTAACATTTATGGAGGATAGCTACAGCAATGAGATTTATGGCTAAGTGACTAAATGAAGGATATCTGGATCACAATTTTAGAAAGAGGAACTATGTAGATACTTAATTTCAAGGGTGACCAAAATCATTGATATTAAAAGTCCATTCTTCTTCCAATTACTTCTTCATTTTTCAGATAGGAAAGGGTTATGAAGGAGCTATGCCTATTGATGGCAGCATCAAGAGGAGGTATGAATCACTGTATATCACTCATGAAAGAAAAGAACACTCAGCTTAAAATTACTTCCTTTATCCAAAATTTCAAACTGCTGGCAGTAAGGGGAATTTTCAAATTTTGCTCAATATTTCTTTTTTTTTTTTTTTTCAACTTAGTTGTAGCAAACGCAAATTTGTATTTTTAAAAAGAAAACTTTAGGTTGAATAATGTTGTGGAAGCATTAAGACAAGAAGCTTGAGAAACCAAAACCAGTCCTGTTGCTTGATGTACTTAATATAAACATTCAATAAGGGATTTCAAAATAAAACATCACCTATATTACTTTTGTAGCATCATTTCCAAGACTAATGCAATAGGAAAACAAAAATAATTTTTACTCCCCTTTCAATTTTTTCCACAAAAGATTATGGTAGCAAACTTGTGTTCAGGCTTTGGTTATTTCTTTTTCATGATCTCATTATCATTCATCAATGAAGCTGAACCACCCTCAGTTTAAATCCCATTATTCTTGGATTGACTATAAGCTTTGTATCTATGAAAATGATTTGAAAAGGGTCCCCAGGGTCTCTATTAGAAGCAGAAATGCTCTAAGAGCAATTTTAATTTACTTTTGGGTTCAGTGGCAGACTCCTTATAATTCTTTATCAGTATAAACCAGGAAGTTATTCTCATTCGGACTTGACATCTTTGGTATATGCATATAAAATGGCATTGACAGCTTTCTATCACTAGCTTCTTAAGAGAACAAGATAAAAAATCCAGAAGGGGCAAGAGATGAGGGGAAGATAAACAGAAGAGATGGGATGGGGGAAAATTTTTCTTTACATAGGAAAATAAAGTCAACACTCAATGTGATCTAAAATCCCTATCATCTATTTTTTTTTTTAAATGACGTGGCACATCAAAAAAGTTAGGTTTAGAAATGACAAGACATGGAAATGAAATGTTCCCTCTGTATTTTGGCATCATACCACTCATAGTACACAACTATCTAAGGATCCCTCAAGCACATTCTTGGCACAACAGACCCCTTAAAACCCAAATAAAATTACCATTTCTCTCTGTGTCTCAACATCAGTCAGTATTTCTTCACCTAGGGAGCTGAGATTTTCTTACAAGTGTCACCCTGAAGACAGTGTAATTCCCATTTTACAACCAGAGAAAATAGAGGTATTGATTACAGCAGTAAGAATAGTAGTATCATAATTTAAATCTTGCATTGCCACATGATTTACATATATGTAACATCTAAGAAGTTTGCTATTTTGAATGGGCACAAACAAGGGCACATCTTTAGCAATCCCTACTTCTCAGACATCAATCACTCTTACCCTGGCTGGATTTCAGACTGGTGCCTTACTAAACTGTAGCGGATGGCAATAGTGCAAGCTTTAGACAACGATCGAGCTGACTCTCCCACAAGAAAGGATCTGACAAACACCATGGTTCCATAAGTCAGTTTGTTACTTAAAGGCTTCACATATGTACCATCAGGTTTGACCTAACAGAAAAAAAAATGTGGCTCAGAGACTGCTTTTTCTTGTTGTTAACAGAGTAGTAAAATTATATTAATTAGCAAAAGAACAAAAATTTCCTATTCTAATATTTACTCACAATCAAAATTTCCAAATCAACTACTGTTTTCCTCTTTTGTGTCTATAAATACCTGGGCGTACTTCATCAGCATATTTTCCCGAGGAATTCGATAGTTGTCCATCTTTAGGTAACCATTATCCATTTCATCATAGCCAAACTTGGGCCCAATGTCTCCGACGATAATGCCTGCCACAGAAGAAAAAAGGGGACAAGAAACACTGAGAAGTTAACTTTTGTATAAACAGAAAGTATTTTGTGGTAAACCTACCTTTAGAAATTGCTTCTTCCTAGTAAATGTTTTTGGGAACTGGGGAACAAGGGAAAACCTATCCAACTAAGAATACATGAGAATTACAAGCACAAATCACATTAGTTTATTCTTAAGCCAGATACAAGGCAACTTCATAGCACTATTCTAATCCCAGAAGGCTTCCTTCATTAGCGCTGACTCTAGGTATTATTCCTAATTGGAAAAAACGACAACCTACTAATTCTCATTAATGCTAATTAGATAATCTTTTAAAGATTATGAAGACTATCTAAGAAATCTATCTACAGTCAGTTTCAATCTTCCAACTGAGTGTTTAGATGAAAAATGAAATAAATGGCTTCAAAAGTAGACTACCTAGCACTAAGAATGCTTTTAGCAGAACAACCAAAGTGGTTAATTTCATTTCCCTCCATGGTACTAAATAACCAGAATTTTACCTGGAAAAGGTTTGTGGGTTCCTATTTCTCGAATAGGTACAATGAAGGCATGCAATCCATAGCACTCTCCCTTAGTGTAGAGCTGAGCCAGAACTATGGCATGATTTGAGGTTTTCCCAACTGCAACATCGAGATCAAGAATAAGCAAAATGATCACAAGACTCTTATAATTAAAAAAATTCTCAACCAGTTGACCTAATTATCTCTCTGCTCAAAGGTCTGAACTATGCTTCCAGGCTATACCACAAGGTTCCCTGAAACACTTTTCAATGAGAGTACCAACACCCAAAATTCAGAAAGATCTGCCTAAACTCCAAGTTTTGCTAGCATCAACTCCATTTCCCAGGTTATTTTGAATTTTAAAAGCAAACTAATTGCCTTTTCTAAAAGAGGAAATTCATTTAAAATTTTCTTTTCTCAAGTTTTTGGACTGTGTTTCTAGAAATGTTTTTTCCTGTCAAAATTTTATTTAACATCTGACATTATGCAATTACACCTACAAAACTGAACTTTTAACTATTTATCTCACTATAGGAAATATACCCAACAGATATATTTCAAACGGGGGAGGGGGTGAGAATGTCATTTGTTGAAAGGTGTTTACATCAATGATATTTAGACTAGAAACAGCCCAAGTATCCAACAATAATGGAATAGATAAGCAAAGTATGGAATATTAACTATGAAAAGCAACAATTTTGTATACTATGTCAATTCATGGAAAGTTTATGTGAAATAAAGTGAAAAAGAAGGAACACATAACAGACATATTACAGTTATGAAAAAAGATTATTTTATATGATAAAATAAAAAAGATTATTATGTACAATGGTTAGTGACAAATCTGGGCTGATTAAATTCCTTTTCCATTTGTGCACATACATATTTACACATTTTAATATCAGCTTGACATCTGAAATAGAATCTTATAATAAATCTTAACTTCTGACTATGAAAATGTATATAAAGTTACTTACGTCCACCAGGCCACCACTTAATGGAAGTAACAGTAGGGCTGTTAAGAATAAACTCCTGTGTTTTAGGGTCATAAGTTGCTGTGGTTTCTAGGCCTCGAAGGTGAGTTCCTATGGAAAAGAATTATAGTTAGTTTATGAAAAGCAAAGGTAAAATGAGAATAATGTGGAACTTTCTGAGTTAAGATTTAGCTTAATTCTTCAATTTCTGTGACTGCTCATTAAAAAAAATCCCTCATATAAATGAGAAGATAAGCAATGTGGTATAGTAGACAGTTAGTCAGCCTTGAAGTCAGAAGATCCAAGTTCATGTCTTGCATTTTACCAGCTTTTAAACCACAAGCAAATCATTTAATCTCACAGTGCCCCAACTAAAGACTAAAAATACAAATGGCGAAGGGAGTTTCCACTTCCCACACAGGGTGTTCCTTTGCCATTTAAGTCGTAAGGCCAACAACAAAATAAGGTGATGAGTATAAGCAATAGGCTCTTTATTGAATATGTCAACATATAGGCTTCATATTGTTTCTTCTTTAGCCTTAATATTAAGGCACCTCTGTATCAGACGACTTGTGGTAACAAAATAGAATTTAGATTACTTTAAGCTAAGCCTATTCTAAAGACAATATTTCTTTCCTACAAGATTACAACATCATATCAACTGAATGAAAGTCATCTCAAAGGGGCATTAACAGTTCTTTTTGACTATTCTTTAAGTTGGGTATATGCCTATTTCAACTAAAAAAAAAATCTGTCATACCCATTCAATATACTAAATATTTATGGTATTACAAGGAGTAAGATTATTATTGTATTACAAGGATATCATGAAGGAAAAGACTGCAGTTAAAGAAAACAAAGAGACAACATTAAAGTACATGAAAACGATGCTTTAAGTTTTTGGCTTTCTTTGTATTCCTGTAGTTTAGTACAAAACCTGGAAACATGGTAAACAATAAATGTTCACTGAGTGAGTGAAACAGGTGTACCAAAATTGTAAAATGAAAGATTTTATTTTAGGATATAATGAGATTAAGGAGGAAAAAAGGAGCTTGCAAGGGCCAAGCTGGGAAAGAAGGGATCCTATACAAGTGCCTTCTTGAATTCCTGAAAGCAAAATAGTGAAGTACGCATCTTCTTTACAAGCTTTCAATGTCAGGCAGCCATCTGCCAGTCTATAAATGAATCTGCCTTTTAGACTGGCCACTTCTCTAGAGAAATAAAGGGGCAGCATTTCAACTATGAGTAAATACAAGTGCATTTTAAGGTTAACGCAGACCCTTTAATTTTTTGGGAACAACAGCAAAACTAGGTGATAGTGCCTAAAAGTTAAATGAACAAACAACTTATAAATTCTTAATGTCACATGAGTGGTCTTTAGAAAATCATCATTTTTTCTACTCTTGAGAATTCTTCTTACTATTACAAAACTGCTTACATAGTGCCAGGCCACAGTAAATATTAAAATAATTTCAAGGAAAACATCTGGAAGCTTCTCAGCTGAATACTAATGCCTGAGCTTTGGGTATGGACCGTCTTTATTCGAGGAGTTCAGAACATTTAAATTACAGATCCTAATTTTTTTTACTGAAAAGCAAGCATTTTTACTTCCATCATCTTTTTTCCTTTCTCTTTCTTTAAAGGGTACAGACAAATCAACCGACCAGGAAGAGCCCTTCAAAGGAAAAATATGAAAATGTAATAATAAGCCAAGAGAGGCAATGACAGGATATGATCAAATAAATGGACAGTGTTCTATTGTTCAAATCCTATATAACTGTGTTTCTAAAGTTCTAGAGTTAAGGTGCTCTTGAATGAAAAAGAAATAAAAAGATTCCATTTGTGTGGAAGGAAAAAGTACACAGTGCAAATTACAAGTAATTTTCTGAAAACCTGGAGAATGGAAGTTGTAGTAAATGATGGTAGTTGCTAATATCAAGTTAGAATAGGAGTGTTAAGAGGAATGATGCTTACAATTAATGAAGAAAAGAAAGGAACAGAAAAAAGATAAATAAGGAGATCAGTGCAGAATGTGAGAGCTAATTTAAAGGAACACTGTCTCATGTATTCTGTCGACAATCTCCATCCATCCAGTCACAGAATAACGACGTTTTACACCCTTCAAGGTAAATGATTCAGATCTGTTCTGCGGGAAGCACAACAGTGAAAATAACAGAAGCACTGGGTGCAGATTTGCCTCTGTTGTCACTTAGAAGCATTGGGCTTGGGCAAATCACTTAACCTTTCTGGGCCTCAGGTCCCTTTAAGGACTTCAAGTCCCTTCAAAGCTCTAAATATATGACCCTGTTGCTTTCAGTCATTTAAGCTGGACATTTCCTCTCTAGCAGAGGTTTTGAACTTTTCCTTGTCATGAATGTCTGCTCTACAGTATCCTCCTGAGCTAGGTCAATGTTAGGCTATCATACTAGCTAAGTGTTTATACTAGAGATGATTACAACATCAACGTCTAAGTCACAAAAATGACAAAACTGGTGACAAAAAGATGAGTCACAGTGAAAGGTCCAAACACTAAGCTTACATGGGCTTATACATCCTATCAAATCCTAAGGACTGGTTTTATATCCTTTACCTTAAGGAAGGCAACCATAACTGAACCATGACAGAAACATTCAGTTAGTTGATTTGTGAGGTCATGTAACCCTAGTTATTTTCATTGAACAAGGCTTAGTTCTATGCCAAGACAATACATATGAAAGCTTTGGACCTCTAAGTTCTTTCTTCATCCCTTGGACATATAAGAGGTTTTCCACACGAGAAGCCCAACCACCCCAGAGGATAGACTGAATGTACCATACCATGGCCCATTTCTGTCTGGGCGTAAGTGCCAATAATCTCCAGGTTCCAGGCTGGTATGAAGAAGCGTTCCTGCTGCTCCTGGGTTGCCTGGTGAAGTAATGTGGGCAGAAACATGCCCAAGTGAAGATCCAAAGGCTCAGGACGCCCACGATGCACAAAGCTGTGAAGGGATGCCACGGATGGGCATTTGAGGGTCATCAGATGCAAGAGATTCATCAATTTGGTAAGACAGATTAAGGGAAGGAGACAAAAAACACCTTGTGTAAGTAAGAATTAATTGTGTAAATTTCAGTATAGATGTGGAGCACTATCCATTTCTGTATCAATTTAGAAATTTAGGTTATTTTGGTTTTTGTGAGCTTGCTACATAACACTTTCTAATGTTTCTTAAACTAGAAACCATGAAATTATTTTCCCTAGGATAAGTAAGTACTGACTCACAGAAAAATAATTATCTCATGGAGTATCCATGCAGAGAAAGATCTCTAAATCAAAGGAAATAAAAATTTTGGAACAAGTTATCTTAAATTAGGGATCAATTCCATGTTTCTTTAAAAGGAATTAGAGAGCTGAATGAGAGAGTTTGGTAACACATATGGTACCTTTAATGGCACTGCCATGATAGGCAGCTGCTTTGGCCTTTGGGGACAACTAATGAACAGAAGGGGATCTCTCCTACAAAGGGCTGACATTCTTAGACCAGCTTTTCTAACCTAGTTATCTTTTCAAAAGTTTTAACATAAAAGTCTCAGTACAGATCTCTGATATAATTCTGTTTATGTCACAATCTTCAAAACCCCCCCCAAAACAAAAACAAAAAACCCCAACTCCCCAAAACAAGAAAATCCTACACTCTACCACATTTTTTCATAAAGATGTAATTATCCTCTTTTGAGCTAACACAGAAACAGACAGTGCTCTTCATCCCAATCATTTATTCAGAAAATCAAAATCAGAGAGATCCAACAAAGGAAATGATAAATACATTTAAAGAGATAATACACAGTAAATTTTCATTTATGATTATAATGAACATATTTAATTAAGTTGATTTCAAAACTCATTTTCTGAGATTAATTTTCCATTAAAATGTCTAGGAATCCAAGAATGTTATTTAAGTTGTTTTTTTTTTCCATGTTCAATCATAGGAAAAGTCACAGGTCCTTACAGTTGGAAGGAATTCCACCAATACAATCCATAATGCAAAGGAATCTCAACACAAATGGTCACTGAGCCTGAATGCACTAGTGTTTTTATAAAATAGTTTTGAGTATTTTGCCATTTCTACCTATAAATTTATCTTTTTAAAAAAATTTTAATTTTTAAAATTAATTTCTTTATTTTTAGTTCTCAACATTCACTTTCACAGGATTTTGAGTTCCAAATTTTCACCCCATCTCTCCCCTTCCCTCCTCCCTTTCCCCCAATCTGCCCTCCCTGCTATCATGCCCCTTTCTCTTATCCCCTTCCTCTTCTATTTTCCTGTGGGGCAGGATAGATTTCTATACCCCATTGCCTGTATCTTAATTCCCAGTTGCATGTAAAAACAATTTTAAACATTTGTTTTTAAAACTTTGGGTTCCAAATTCTCTCCCTCCCTCTCCAACCACCCATGTCATTGAGAAGGCAAGCAACTCGATATAGGTTATACATGTGTAGTCATGCAAAACACTTCCATTAATAGTCATGTTGTGAAAACTAACTATAATTCCCTTCATCCTATCCTGCCCCCCCTATTTATTCCATTCTCTCCTTTGACCCTGTCCCTCCTCAAAAGTGTTTGCTTTTGACTGCCCCCTTCCCCAATCTGCTTTCCCTTCTATCATTCTCCCCTCTCTTATCTCCTTCCCCCCATTTTCCTGTAGGGTAAGATAGATTTCCATACCTAATTGAGTGTGTATGTTATTCCCTCCTTAAGCCAAATCCGATGAAAGTAAGATTCACTCATTCCCTCTCACCTCCCCCCACTTTCCCTCCACTGTAAAAGCTTTCTCTTTTTTGTTTTATGTGAGATAATCTACCTCATTCTCCCTCTCCCTTTCTCCCAGTACATTCCTCTCACCCCTGAATTTTCTTTTAGATACCATCCCTTCATATTCAACTCACCCTGTGGCCTGTTTGTAGGAATGTAAACAGTTCAACTTTATTAAGTCCCTTATGATTTCTCTTTCCTGTTTACCTTTTAATGTTTGTCTTGAGTCTTGTATTTGAAAGTCAAATTTTCTATTCAGCTCTGGTCTTTTCATCAAGAATGCTTGAAAGTCCTGTATTTCACTGAATTTCCATTTTTTCCC